GCGAATGCAACCGTTGAGTTCGAGCGCTTGAGTTCCGCGTATGGTACCGTCCCCCGGACGTTTGTCATCAACAAGGCGGGCGACCTGGTGGCCATTGGCGACCAGGCTAGCTCCAACGTCGCGATCGTGGCACGTGACCCCGTCACGGGCGTCTTGGGCGAGAAGATCGCCGAGTTGCAGGTCGGGGAGCCCGGTGCGGTGGGCACGGCCGAGGGGTTGAGCAGCATCATCTGGGATGAGTGAGTGCTTTCCCCCTGGGGCTTGGAAAAAGTACATAGTTGGGGTTTGCATGCTGCATGCATGCCAGATACCGCGAGCGAGACTGAACAGTGTGAAATGTGTCGTCAGCAGTCGATTGACTTACCTACATACCTATATATTATGTGAATAAATGGACCCTTGGGCTTGTGTTTCAATCTTTCCACTCAGACATGATCCTGTAGCGTAAGGGACCGGGGGACATCGACACATCGGTCGGAAAACCCGCAGATCCCGTTCGGGACATCTCCAGCTCGGGCCATGGACACGGAGGACTTGAGTCGTGCCCAAGCTGAACAAGCCGGACAGATTATGTCGACCGTCACTAGACACGTATTCTTTGAACAACAATACATTGGAGGCTACTGCTTGGACCCTCGACGATCTGGGGATGCTGGACGCAATGCAGTATTTCTGGATAAGAGACGCCCATAGGAGTGTGATATAATGATATTGCCCGGGGAAAGTTGTAATGCCAGTGTGATGTCTTCCCTTCAGGTCTCAGCATGCATGCATCAACTGTGGGAGCAGAGAAGATGCTACGGAAGACCCTGCTTGCCCGGTCATGGTGGATGGACGGGCAGTACGAAAGGCGGTGTACTGAAGGTGACCGCTCGCCCCTCGCGTGCAGCTCGGTTCCATTCTGTTTCCGTAATTCTGCCACTCCTCCTTTTCCACCTTCCATACACTGACAGAATCTTGGGTACGGACTAGAGCTCTGCTCCATGCTCGGCTTCATGCTCAAGTGGGAATTTATCGTGTCGAAGACTGTTGATGACTTTATGATAAGTTACCACACGCCTGGCCCCGGGCCATGCCCTTATGTGTTCTAGCTTCCAAGCACTTGTCCAATCTCAGGCCTCCGTGCCCAAGACAGCGAGTGGATCTCCGGAGCTGGGCGGCGCCGATCTGCTCGGAAAAATGCCATTCGCACTGGTGACTGGAGGAGACCCGGGGAGCTGCATTTCCGAGCTGATGATGAACGAACTGCCTTTGTGAAACGGATCCATGGGACTCTCCCGCACTCTAATTCCCGAGCCGCAGAGCTGTCATTAATTCAGACGCACAGTAAGATACCATATGTGACAGCATCCTCGATGTCTCCACTGTTTGTCTTTCGTCTCGCTCTCTCAATTTCTTCCACCGCAAAGCCATGGCTGGGAGAGAGAGAGAGAGAGAGAGAGAGGAGGGATCTGTTGTTTTTCAGCTCCACCACGGACTGATCGGCTACTTTAGCGTGTGACAATCTACGCGATCGAACGCTATCGGACGCCATCTGCCGATCACTACCTTCCCGAGAACCATTCACAGCTTCGACAGCTGAATGACAGAGCAGAGCTTTGATCGAGGGGCCCGATTTGGGGCAATCAGAGGCGTCTCTCCAGCAACACCGCCTTTTCCCGGGACCTTCCACAAAGTTGCATCCTTTCGCAGCTCCGCAGATGGAAGCAGAAGCGGAGAGGTCAAGTGGATCTATTCTCAGCTGTGACAAAAGCAAAGTGGAAGCTCTCCGCGCTCTACGGCCATTGCTGCTCGAGGAGAGGATGGTTTTACTAGAGCATTACAGCCAGCCACCATATTCGAAGCATAAAGAGCAGTATCGACTCGTATCTTACTGTCCAGTGACCGTATACGGAACAACAAGAGCCACGACACTAGCATCCACCCACATGCAAGATGATCAGATCGTCCTTCGTCAAGAACCACACGGAGCATCTCGGGCCCCATTCTCATGGCTGATAGCTCCACTAGCCGGGAAAAGGGAGGGGTTTACTTTTCAGCGTGTCCAGGTCCCCAGGCGGCGGTCGTCCATCTTATAAAGGCCCTCCACCCAGAGCCCATTCCTCGAACGTTTCCATTTGCTCTTTCTTTCTTTGGGCGTCGCTGCAGACTTACGCCAGGGCCTAAGCACATAATTGCTGATACACCTTCCTCCCTTCCTCCTTCAATTCTCGCTCCCCGCCTTTCTATCGTTCGATTGTTAGACATCCCAACTACACATCACTTCACGATGGGAAATCTCTCCCGCCTTCTCACCGTGCTCTCAGCGGGAAGCGCGGCATGGGCGACGCAGGCTCCCCTCGGTTCCGCCAGTGCAGGCGCGAACCAGTGCCTCAGCATGACCGGCGGAGCCCCCCATACTAACTTCGATGCGTGCTGTGGAAGCAGCGCATCTGGCCGCGGCACCGTCGACGGCGTCGAGTTCACCTACACGTGCGGACAGTGGGCGACGCCCTACGCGACCAAACCCGTGACCGCCGCCAGCGCGCGCGAGTGTGCGCAGCTCTGCGCGGCCGCTGGCGCCCAATGTCCCGCGGCCGCCTGGATGTCCAAGGGGCAGTGTTACTTCATCACTTCTGGCGCTTACTCGGTCAGACCGTTGAAGGGGATCCTCTTGCTCGAGAAGACGGGAAAGCTGGTCGCTGGGGAGGAGCCCACGGAGCCGGAGGGTGGCTGCGACAAGGCCGCCGAGGAGGCGAAGACGCAGTGCGAGAAGGAGGCGGCGGAGCGATGCGAGGCGGACAAGACCCGCATCGGTGAGCAGTGCAAGGCGGATTGTGCTAAGCAGGTCGCTTCCGTCACGGAGCAATGCAATGCGGAGAAAGCGAAGCTGGAGGAGCAGATGAACACCAAATGTCGGGACCAGACCGCGGCTGCTGTGCAGGAGCAGGTCGCGAAATGCGAGAAGGAAAAGACCGACCTCGGAGGCTCCTGCGACGACCTCAAGAAGCAGGGCGAGGCCCAGTGTGAGAAGGATAAGACTGCCATCACCGAAGACGCGAAGAAGCAGTGCGATGCGGACAAGACTGTCATCACTGAAGATGCGAAGAAGCAGTGCGATGCGGACAAGGCGGCTCTGACGTCGGCCTGCGACGCAGAGAAGGACCGCCTCCAGAAGGCGCTCGACGAAGCCAACGAGAAGCTCAAGAAGCTTGAAGGCAGTGGTGGTGGCACCGGCACGTCGACCACCTCGCCGGCCAACGAAGCCCTGCTCGAGGAGATCGCGCGCGAGAATTTCAGCACCATCTGCCCGAAGTTCGGCGGCAAGACTTTCATCACCGTGGACTCCAAGGGCTACAAGCATGAGTGGATGCTTTACTGCCATACCGGGGTCACGGGTCAATCGACCCCCAACTACAACTGGAGCTGCCACACTCAAAACATCATCCAGCTTCTGAAGGAGCAGCAGGAACGGTCGGATCTCAAGGCTCTCTGGGTCAACACCAACAATGTCTGCACTCCTTGGACCGGGGGATATGTTAATGTCGGTGGGCCGTTCACGAACCACCATTTGGTGATGCCCACCCGCCAGCCTTGGAAATGATTGATCTGAGCTATACCGAGTTCAAATCCGGGGGGATGAAGTGCTAACAGTTGCGTCGAGTATAAATAGTCTTAATCTATAAGTGTAGTATGAGGGGTTCAAATCGAGATTAAGGAATGGATATTATGAATGACTAGTATCTTACACTGCTTGCTATGAAACACCTGTGATATCACCAGCAGTATAGTTCGAAGTGAAAATCAGTCCGCGTCTGAGAATCAAGTATGGCCATTAGGACGACTTCCATTCCTTCTCATGCTTCGACCTACCGGCAAACCATTGCTTCTGTCTGTGCACCAGAATACATGCTATACATCCCGCTTCACCATCGCAGCATCCGATAATCTATCTGAATGTGCCAGAATGGCATTCGCCTTTACATGCCTGACCGAGGGGGGCGGAAGGAAGGAAGAAAAAGCCTCAGGGTCTTGTTGGCATCGTGAACTGATCAATTTAGCTGTATCTGCAATGGTGGGACTTCCGCGACTCTCAACAGAGAAGCCACTCGATCGCTCAATCAGCTTGTTGTCGCCGGCAAGGCTTTGTATGTACCCGGGTGTAAGCGACACTCCGGCTTGGGTTCAGTTGTCAGCAAGGCCAACCAGTCAGTGTAAATTGAATACTTTCCACAGCAGCAAAAAAACAAGAACGCAAGGGCTTTCCTCCCTGGGGGAGGGAGAACGACTCAGCTAATGAAGAGAATCAATCAATCGCCAATCTACCGGGGACCGTTCGTTGGTGAGCCTCTCCGTCGAAAGACATGATTCCCATGATCCAGAATGAAGGAATGGACCTGGTATCCTGTATCCTCCAGCAACTCTCGGGAGTGGCTATTCTAGAAGAACCCCGCCGCTCAGGATCGAGAGAATCAGGATGTTCCCCCCTGCGACACCCACGAACGTGGCCGTGGCCGTGGCCGTGTCCGAGCCCCATCGAGCGGCAAAGATCAGCATGAAACACCATATACCACTATCACTGGAGTTGCGCTGCCATGCATCCGAGACAAGGCCCCCCGTATGACTTTTTCAGCATCGGATGCCGCAAGGGTGGAAAAATCTGGAGTCGATTACCGAAGGCCCTGAAGGTCTGTCTCCTGAGGTCTCCGTAGCCGAATAAGCCACCATGGCCGCATGAAGTTCAATTCATAGATTTCCCTCTATTGTGGAGCAAGATGACTCTAAAAGAGAGAAGCTGTGCAGAAAGCATGATAGATCCCTCTCTCCAAGCCCTAAACACAATTGGAGGATTACACCGAGCAAAGCCCCCTTCTCACCAAGGAGAAACATCAGACACTGGAACTTTCCAGGAGAAGGTAACAGCAAGCCATAAACTAGGCTGATTCTCCCTCTCTTGGAGAGATGGTAAACTATCTTCACGAGTGATAACACGAAAGCCAACAGATCCCGCCTCGGGTTGTTTACTCCTCCAGAGTACCCTTGATCACCACCCTCACCCCCGGGGAACCTTTTTTGGCAGCCGGGAAAAGACAGTCCCGGGCAAATTTGCAGTCTTCAATGGTAGTCTGATAGAGCTCCATATCCAACTGCCGGAAGAGCGTCGCGGTGGTGAGATACAATTCGGCCAGCGCAAAGCTACCCCACGTCAGCGTCTATGTCCCTCGAAGATGAAATGAAAACGTCAAGGGAGAAAGAACATACTGCATCCCTAAGCAACTTCTGCTCCCCTTCGTGAAAGAGACCATATATCTGTCCAACCGCTCTCCAGTCTCCGCAGCCGTGATCCAGCGCTGGGGGTCGAATTTCTCCGGGTCCGGGAAGATGCAAGGGTTCATGTTCATGAAGTACGTGGCGGTGCTCACTGGGGTCTATACGGTGTCAGCTTCCGGAACCTACCTTCTGGTTCACGTGCAGGAAGGAGCAGGTTAGAGAAATGAGGATGACACCCACCCCAGCAGGTATGACCCAGTCCTCGAAGTGGAGTTCTCCTGCGGCGCAATGCGCGGGAGTCTTGACGCAGTGCCCAGGCTCAATCGAAGGCCTTCCTGCACCACCCCGTTCTGCATCCTGTTAGCCTTACCCATATCCCCTCTATTTCACACAATAAGCCACCCCCCACCCCCCTCCTCCCTTCCCCCCGGCGAAACAAAAAAAAAGAGGAAGAAAGACAGTCCACTCACCAAAACCGGCAACTTCTCCAACTGATTCCACGACAGCGTATCCTCCAGCCGCGGCATCGCCGCCGTAAGCTCCTCCCTCAACCGCCCCAGAATCTCCCGATTATCCAACAGATGGAAGGCAATGTGCGTCAGGGCATTGGCGGTAGTCTCCGTCCCCGCCACGAGCAACATATGGCCCTGATCGGTCAACCGATCCTCGGTCCTCTCCTCCTTCGGGACGGAGGGGTCAATCAGCGCCTCGAAGATCGTCCCTTCCACCTGTTCTTTCTCCGCGCTCTCCTTGCTCCTGTTCTTGACCCCCACCGCCGGCGCCGACCCTAACAGCCTCCGAACCTGATCCCTCACCAAGCCCTCAATGTAGAAGATCTCCCCTACCCCGCCGGGACCAACCCACCGCACCACCCCGCGCGGTAGCAGCTTATACACGTCCAGCACAGGGAAATGCCGGAAAAAGTGGCCCGCGGAGGTGGAGCCGTTCACCGCCGTCTTCCACTTCGTGCGGTAGTCGGGCGCGTCCAGGTAGCCGTAGTCACGGCCATAGGCGTAGCGCGTGATGATGTCGCCGGTCATGGCGGTGAAGGCGTTGTTCAGCACAATGACGCCGTTGTCGTCGTCCCCGGTGGTGGTGCGGGCCTGGGCGGCCTGTTGGAACCGCCGCAGCAGCTTGGTGATGCCGGCGCGGAGAGCCGGCTCGCGGTTGGCGATGGTGCGCCGCGCGAAGTAGTTGCGCATCACGCGGTAGCGGCGCGCGTGCAGTTCGTGCGGGACGGTCGCCAGGAGCGAGTGCGGTATCGCGAACAGGCGCACGAACTCTGGGTCTTTGTCGCGGACGTGCGGCCCTGTCGCGTAGATCTGGTCGTAGAAGGTGGGGTCGGCGATGTGGAGTTCGCGCGGGTTGATGCGGATGATCGGGCCTGTGGGTTGGGTGGTTGTGGTTACTGGTTAGTGGTGGGCTTTGAACCTCGGGAAAGAGAGAGAGGGGGCGGGGGGCTTGCCGTATTCCTTGTGCATCCTCTCAATCTCGAAGATGAACTGGTGGTCGTGGATGAAGTCGTAGTAGAATTCGTAGAGGTGGGTGATGGCGGCGAGCCTGGGGCCGGGGAATCGGTGTAGTGGGTGTAGGAAGAGGCGGTAGATGATGAGGCTTGTTAGGTAGATCATTAGCACGGAGGCCACAAGGACGATGTGGTTCTATTGGTATCAGCATCAGTACACTGGTCCATTTCCATGGGAGATGGATGTATACCGTGGGCAATGGGATAGCCATGTTGATTCTGGACACTGGACAGAGATAAAGGCAAGTTGGGTTGTTGAATGTGGTTGAATGTGGTTGAATGATCATACAATACTAGAAGAGTGCAATGCGGGTTACAGAAGATGAAGAGAATTAGGGCTGTGTATCCCAGCCCGGGCGCGGCTATTCATAGCTGAGGGAGTGGCCATTTTCATTCATCATGTCTCGACTGTGAAAATCTTCAGAAAAAATCAAAAGACTGTTACACTACAGATTCAATACGCACGATCATCATAAGAGTGTCTGGCATAAAGTGACGAAGTGGTACAGATAGGAAGCAACCGAGGCATCCGCGCATATACACCCCTCCCGATCCAGCCAGCGGACAAGAAAGAACCCCCCCTTTCATTTCACCCCTTGCCTATCTTTCCCTTACAAGATGCCCCGTCGCCCGTGTATTGCGAAGAGTTCTGAAGAACTGGTGCGGCTATAATGCCGGCCCGCTCCTCTTGCTTGTTGCCAAATCCCGAATGAAGCCGGTAAAGAGAAGAACTTGTAGCATTCAACCATTGCTCACTCTTTCTAGATCCTTCAATCACACAGACTTAGAGTGAATCCAGATGCATTACATCGAAAGAACAGATTCAATGTATCTCAACACAGGCAGCAATAGCAAAACCAGGTTAGTTCGATCTTCCAAGCACAGCAACCTACTTTGCAATCCCCAGTTAGAGCCGATAAAGAGATGTAGTTGTGACATCAATTCATCATCCCCCTCTTTCCCGATGCTCCAATCAAGATTTTCGAATCGAGACATCCCTATAGTGGACCAAGATGCTTTGCGTCGAATGACCAGATCAAATGCATCTCATTGCAGATGGCAATGGCAGAACCGGGTTACTTCGACCTTCCAAGCGCAGCAGCCTACTTCGCATTTCCCACATAAAGCCAGTAAAAAGATGTAGTTGTGGCATTAATGCATCGTCTAGTCCTCTCAGATGCTCCAATTGAAATACTCAAATCGAGATGCTCGAATCGAGACAGCCCTGAAGCGAATCAAAATGCTTTACGTCGGAGGGGCAGATCAAATGCATCTTATTACGGATAACAATGACAGAACCAGATTACTTCGACCTTCCAAGCGCAACAACCTATTCTGTATCGCCTCTATGGGCAGGAAGTGTTACCGCAAAGGTGGCGATGTAGAAACAGCAGTGATCGTAATCGGAGTGCATCAACCCCGGGAGACTGTAAGTCAGTGGTGACAACATTCCTTGCGCTTTTCTCACAACACAGACAAGTCAGAATGCGTAGCATGATGCAAGCATCTGATCGATTGGACATTGACTTACAAGAAGAAAAGAGATGAGCGAATTACCTACCCATAAATCACTGAAGACCAATCAAGACCAGATACTACTGGTCGCCTCATGCCGCTGCGGAAATACCCTTCCGGTATCGGTAGGCCATGGATGGATAGCAAGGAATCAGGCAGCGTAAGAGATGTATTGTTACAATATGGCAATGTTTGTCTGCAGGAGGGCGATGATGGAAGCCCCCATGCACGCCTACGCAGTGAATGAGATGTGGACGCTGAGGTCGGAGGGTGGCTAGTCCTGAGCTCACTTAACCAGCCGACCATCTACCACCGGACCTATTTAAGCTGCAGTATTATCTCATGGTTTGGTCTCAGTTGCTCCCACAAGACCAACGACATCCCTCAATCTACATTCCCACCTCACACGACAAGAAGCTTGTCATCTAGCTTTCTACTGTTATTCTCAAAACATGCAAGCCCTTGATACCGGTCCTACCCGTATGAATAACCCCAAAAAGTATTCAACCATGGACCCCGACTTCGACGCCATAGTGGTAGGAGGCGGATTCGCCGGGATCCGCATGTTATACTTGTGTGTCCGCCCTCCTCCTATGCCTTCCCACCTTCTGACCAACCCTTTCACAGACTGAGGGAGAACGGCTTCACCGTCCGCGGGATCGAGCGTCAGGATGGCCTTGGGGGAGTCTGGTTCTCGAACCGCTACCCCGGCGCTCGCCCGGACAGCCCCCAACCCTTCTACCAGTTCCACGACGAGACGCTGGTCGACGAGTGGCAGTTCGGAGCGGTTCCCCGACCACAACGAGATGCGGGCGTACTTCCAGTACGTCGACCGCAAATGGCACGTCAGCCAGGACTACGACTTCGGGGTCGGGGTGGAAGGCGCCGCGTTCCAGGAGGACGGTCTCCTCTGGTCGATCTCCCTGTCCGACGGGCGATGCGTGACCGCGCGCTTCTTTATCCCCGCGGTAGGGTTCGCATCCACGCCGACCCTGCCCAAGATCCCGGGTATCGAGTCCTTCCAGGGCCCCCTGCGCCACACAGCCGACTGGCCGCACTCCGGCCTCGACGTGGCCGGCAAGCGGGTGGCCGTGATCGGCACGGGGGCCTCGGGGGCGCAGGTGGTCGCGCGTATCGCGCCCCAGGTCCAATCCCTGACGGTCTACCAGCGGACGCCCGTGGTAGCGATCCCAGCGTCTCCGGAGTCGGCCAAGGATGCCAACTTGCGCACGGCCACCCCGCTGACGCCGGACGGCTCGCGCGCGGCCTTCCAGCGCACAATGACCTCCTTCTCCGGCCTGGACTACTGCTTTCAGGACGCGGCGTCCGCAGCCGTCGGATCGCCGCTGCGGGACCTGTTCAACCGGCAGTTTTACAAGGAAGGCAGCCGGGCGCTGGTCTGGAGCAACTTCACGGACGTGTTCACCGATCCGGCGGCCAACGCGCCGCTACTACGAGGCCTTCAACCTGCCGCATGTGCAGGTCGTGGACGTGCGGGAGGCGCCCCTCACGGAGATCACGCCGACGGGGATCCGGAGCGGCAAGACGCACGTCGAGTACGACGTGATCGTCTGCGCCACTGGATTCCAGTCGAACAGTGCGGGGATCGCTCGCCTGAACATCACCGGCAGCCGCGGGGTGCCCCTGACGGAGGTCTGGAAGCACCGCGTCTGCTCGTACCTGGGCATGACCGTCCCTGGGTTTCCCAACATGTTCTACCTGTTCGGGCCGCAGGGCCCCACGGTCAAGGTGAACCTGCCCACGGCGATCGAGTGCCAGGCCCAGTGGATTCTGGCGTTCCTGAAAGCGCTTCGTACGGCGCGGGTGACCGGGTGCGAACCGACGCTGGCGGCCGCGCAGGCCTGGCAGGAGGAGTTGAGGGCACACTGGAAAGACACTTTGTACGCGAAGACAACCACCTGGGAGGCTCGCAATGCCTCCAATCAGCCGGAACCCCTTTGGTAAGTTTGTTTGAGGAACACCCCTCCTGCTCCAGATTCTGTGACTCATGCCGTGGATGGATACCGTAGGATCCGAGGGATTCACAGGTACAACGAGGCGTTGCAAGCGTCGCAGGCGCTCAGCTTCCGCGGCTTTACCGAATTGCAGCCGAAAAGAACCTCTGTGCTGTAGCCATGGTCGAATATTCGCCCTCGCAGGTCGCCTAGGGGAAGAGTTGGTTCGAGATCAAGCCGGAGAGAATAGTATGATGATCCACCATCCGGCGACGAAGAAAGAAGGCGAGCTCCGTTCCACGCTAGAAAATGTCATTTCGCAGTAATTAGGTCATTCCCTTGCACGAGAAATGCTTACTATACGGACTCGGAGAGATCCAAGGAAAAGATTGAGTCGATAGCGAGAGCAGTCACATAGTCTCAAGACAAAAAGAATCATATGCCTGTTACATTATGCTCCTCCAATCTACCCAGTTTCTACTTGTTAGGCTGCACGCACTCACTAGTCTACTTATAACCAGCGGCTGTATTACATTTTAGATCTACTATACATGATTCTGCCGCAGTCTCTACACAGTGGGATCCATTCAATCTGCCACGATTAGGGTTCCGAGGCGCACCAGTTGAGATTGGAAAAGAAAAATGGGAGAGGAGTAATGACAATTCTCAGACGCAACAATCTAAATCGATGATCAATCCCAAGCATACACTGGCTGTAACTCCAAGTAGTGCTATCGTAAAATAGGGGTTCCCTTCACGCGGAAATCAAATGCTGCTAGCGCTCAGCATCCCCTGCACCGGAGCTATCGCAGTCCAACATCAGCTCCGGATACTCGGGCAACCTCCAGCCACCACGTTCCTCACTCACAAACATCATCAAGAGATCCGGAATACGCAGGAAGCAAAGCACCTGCGCAACGAGCAAAAGGACCGCGGCGCCCAACCTTGTCCCCGGAAACGCAAACCCCAAGAACGACCGATTGAACTTCTGTATCTCCTGAAAAAAAGGCCGCAACGTCTCCTCATAGCTCCTCAACGCCCGTGGTAAATCCTCGGAATGTCTGGCAAAATCCCCAGCAAGCACACACGCACCGACCAAGGCGCCTGTCGTGCCCATCGCACTGAACGGGGGCGAGCAATGCGCCGCATCGCCCAGCAGAACCACCCTCCCCATCGACCACATGTCCGTACGGATCTGCACCATCTCCTGACAGTAGACATTATCCTTCGCCCGCAACCCCGTCCGCCAGTAGGGATCCGGTGGCGCGTGGACGGGTGGCTGCGGCTGCAACATTGCCCGCCGGATGCGCAAACGATGCATGTCCCCGCCCACCAGCAGGTCGAAGGTATCCGCTGTTGCCGTCAGAGAGAAATGCACCACCACGTCGTCGTCATGCTGGTTGAAACACTCGACTGTTTTTTCCAAAGAGATACTCCACGGTATCCTTGGTCGCGCGTTGTAGAGCATCCGGTTTAATTCCCCCCCGCATTATCTCGTACTCAGAGCTGGATGACTGCAGCCCTTGCCGAACCGGTTTGCTGTACAGTTGGTTCGGGCATGATATCCCTTCTCGGGCAAGCCAGCCAATCTTCAATCCAGTTCCAAGTTCACCGGGTTTTACTAGATTGGGCGCCAGTTTGCCGAGACTCGCTTCATCTCAACATGGAAGTGGGTCGAAGGCTAGGCTGCATTCACCGACTGGGCGGCTATTTCACCTTACCGATTCAAGTAGCATTCACGTCGTTTTCCAGTTGGTTCTAGACCCGGCTTGGGGCTGCTTGTCACTCATTCAGTGGCCTGGAGAATCGGGGAACGAAAAGAGCATTAACCCGAAGCAATCGTTAAGCATTCCTGTCGAGCTCGAACTAGATGAATCCATGTTTGAAAGTACTCGCCAAAGCCAACCCAGACTGGGACTACCCAGGCAACTTGTCTGAAATATAACTATAAAGGTCTGTTGAAGTCCGATATCACCTTCCACCCGTCCGAAACTCTCTCGACTCCGTCCCGAGGCATCTCTAGCCCTAAGCAACCCTCCACCCCACCGAAGCATCAAGGGTCTGATTCAGCAAGACCATGAAGACGTTGATTCTTCCCTTTGAAATCGTCGAGCAGATCGTGAATGAACTCGAACATGAAAGCGACATCAACGCCTTTGCCCGCACCCAGAGGACCCTCTATCCAACTGTGAACCAGATGCTGTACCGGCCCAACGTGCGCCATGGGAAAGGCTCGGCCTTTGGGGGGGGGGGGGGGGGTCCAGCACGGGATCCTGGCAACTGTACAACACACTTTCACGGCCGGTGCCTCGGCGTACCAGTGCGGTGAGCGCGGTCCTCGAGCTTCTCCTGAGCACCGGGAAATGGAATTCATTGCTGTCGCCCGTCCATTTGGACCCCTCCATCTGTGAGAAGGCTCTCGCGATTGCGACCGAGGCCGCACAGGTCCAAAACTTGCAGTGGCTGCTAGACCGGGGGTTCTTGCCAGTCCGAGGGCCCCAGTCGTCATCGTCGCCTCCGCCCACGGTCAATTTGCTGGGCCTTGTGGCACTCACAACGGGGGCAGACGACGCCGCCGCGGCCACTCTGGATCTCCTCCTCCGGGCTGGTCTGGATGTCAACGAGATCATCTCCCGTGAAACAGCGCTGACGCTCGTCGCCTGGCGTTGCGACCTGTGGCAAGAGTCTCAGCGCTGTCGCGTGCGCATGCGAATGCTGCTCGATCGCGGTGCCCATCTGCTACCGCCACAAAACCTCCCACATGCCACGCGCTGCGGCATCCTCGGGCCCCTCAGTCTCAAGCTGCTCGGTCGGCACCCCGAGCTGGACAGGCTGATCTTCCAGGAGTTGGAGGCGCGCCGCGAGCCATGGCCAGTGGGCGAACGTTTGTTCGGGTGGGCGGAGTATTGTGCGCATATCCGGGAAATAAGGCAGTACTCGTGGCGAGTCCGATATCTTATTTAAATAGTTCTTCTACCGTTCTTGTACTTCAAATAATATCCATTCCGTTTTCTATGACATGTCCAGGAAATCCTTCCCCGGGGCTGGTCTCCCTCATGACCCCAGAAAATGATGTCCGCTTCTGAAGATCTTTCCTCTCGTTTTGGATATTGCAGTCAATCCTCAAATTGACGTCACGGTAACAAAAGCTCTGTTTTTAACTAGATTCTATCTCCATCCCTGTACTGTATGATCATGGGTGAGCAGGTATTCAGCCCGCCGTGTGCACTATCTCGCAATTTTATGATTTTTCTTTCTCCGCAAGTAGCGCGCCAACTAGCTAGATACGCGTCTACTCCTTAGGTAAAATTCAACCCTGCAACAGGTCCCAGCACCAAGGTATTGTCCCCGTATGAATACTCACCCCACAATATGACGTTGACGTTGTCGTTGCGGAAAGAACTGTCCGGTTGCAGATGGTGATAAGCTTTATGCCAGATAAAGTTCATCTTCAGCCGTGGTACAAGAGCCGTCATGACTATGACGTCCAAATTGGCTGCAGTCCACCCAGTCCAATGTTAAAAGTGCATACGCAGAGCCTCGTTTTCTTGATTCGATCGAGGAAATCAAGCTCTGGGAGAACATATACCGGACAGATCAAGGAAGTAGGTCTGATTCACGCTTTCTAGCATACCTCAAGATCTCCTCGCCGCCGTCAGTTGATTGCCGCTGTCACTGCTGAAGGGGGGTTGACGAAAACAGCTTGAACTGATGGTAGACGTGATATCATCCCCAGCTGTGACCTCCGTAATAAAGGATGTTGCTTCTCCGGTACTCATCGGTGAGTCTCAATTGGCATAAGCTTCAGAGCAGCATGCCGTTTTCGGCCAGTAAGCATTGTTCCAGAGAATGACAGCTCGGGGCACACAAACAAGAAGAAACTTAAAAGAGTTGACCTCACTACAAGGCAATGAGCCTAAAATAAATCGGCTATCCGAGTAAGTCGCTCGGACATATCAAGGGAAGAAAGCCACCTCTCTAAGACCCGTATGCGCCTTTTCAAGGACAATCCCTGCTCCAACGCGCCCAGACACGCTCATCCTCTCCAAACAATTCACCAAGTCCCAAGAATAGGAACATAATCATCCACCTTCCAAAGACACCAAAATGACCTCGAAACTCCTCATCGCCAGCCTCATCCTCACCGCAAGCACAGCCAACGCCCTCCCCAACCACCCCAACCCACTCGAACAGCTCATGCAGCCCCTAAACAACCTTAACAACCCTCACGAAGTGCTAACCACCCCCTGCCCCGACCCACAACACCAACCCCAAAACCACCCCCACTGGCTCGACATCTCCTACGGCCAATGCTACCACCTCATCCACCCGGACTTCGGCCCCCTGGTCGACAGCACCTGGGGCCTCTCCGCGGCCCCCTTCCAATGGCTGGCCTTCAAGCAAGGCCACAAGCCGCGGCGCCTGCAGGTGTGCCGCACCGAGCACTGCGACGACGACGATGTAGGTGCCGTGGAGAACCACGGCACCTTCTACCTGCGCGACCTGCGCGGCTCGCCCAAGACGCAGTGGCAGCCGCGCTTCCTCAACGTGTTCGAGGGCCTCTCCAGCCAGGTGTGGCCCGATGCGCACGACGGGCAGGGCAAGCGAGCGCGCTTCACGGCGTCGGCGGTCGCGCACGGCGACTGGCTCCGCCTGCGGGTGGTGGAGAGTGCCACCGGGTACAATGGGTTGCATGTCAATTCGGATAGTTGGCCCGAGCATAGTTTTGTGTATACGGATCGGGTGGAGAATAGTTTGAGTTTTTGGTTTGTGAGGTGTGATGGGCATGATGATGGGGAGGGGGTAGATTAGAGGAGGGGTGGGAGTTGGGGGATGCTTTATTGTTGGTTGGGATTCGATGGAGTTGGGTAAGTGGGTGGCTGAAGCCTTGAAGAATGGGTGTGGGATTCGAGAGCCAAGGCTAGAGTTGTTGCTCTGGCTGTGTTTGAAGCACATTCATTCATCATGGCAAGACTCCGGGTGGTGATTTCTTTGTTGCATGTTTACTGTGTTCATTAGCTAACGTGCTTCAAACTGTAGCCCTTGTTCTCTGTGTGCGTCCCTGGTGATCTGGTCATGGTGGCTAACCATGGCATTTGCCTTGCTGATCCATGGACAGGGCTTTAGCACATTCATGTCGTCAATTACCACTCAGCCAACAGCTGGAAATTGAAAATCTATGGTTAGGTTGCCATCTGTGAAGTAGCGCATGGTATGGTCGGTATCCGGGATGAAGCAAGCCTTGTGTCAACGACTTTGAAACCTCAGAGGTAAAGTTGCTGGAACGTATCCGAGATTTTCTTGGTGGTTGGAACTATCTGCGATATCAACATGTGAAGCAGCCTGGTAACCGCGTTGCATCACGTGGCCGGATTACTCAGCCATTCCGACACCTTGCATCATAAGCGTATTGCACATTGGCATGACACTGCAGGACTTCTTCGATATGTGACTACCGCAATATGTAGGAGATACAAGGTAACAGGAGACAGAGAACAGGAAAGAGGATTCAACAACAGAAAGGAAAGACGAGAGTGGTCTGTCCCTTGAGTTTGTGATTGCAGATGATCATAAAATATACTAATTGTATGAGTCAACCATTTTTCTACTCATATGTTTTATCGCTTTCTGAAACTGCCATCGGCATAAGGATATGGGAACAATAAAGCCCATGGATCGGGTAAACTGCTCTAGCATCCTAATCCGTAAGACAATTGCCCGCGTTAAACTCAGTACTGGCATCGCCAGGCAGGCTGTTAGGGCTATAATGGTGCCTGTGCTGAGCAGGAGCTATTGCAGCGAGTCTTATAACATTATTTTAACACATTCTTACATCAAGGCAAGATGGCCGAGTTGGTCTAAGGCGTCAGGTTAAGGTTACCTTAGCAAACAGCTTCTACAAGCTTCCTGATCATCGTTTGATGGCGTGGGTTCGAATCCCACTCTTGTCATTACTTTTTGCCATTTAAGTTGTGTATTTGCGCAGCCCATATAGTGTAGTAAGCAATCAATAAACTAGCATCAATGATGCACATCCTTTGCACTTGGTTATCTTCTTCTTCAAAATCTTATCCTCAGAACGACCATAAACAAACGATGCTGAGATTACCCACCTCTGGGACAAAGAACTCCCCGGACTTGTTCTCTCGTTTGCTCCCTAAGCCTTTCCGTGGGCAGCTTTTCCCCACCACAGCAGTTCTCCCAGGGTCAGAAAATGACCATTTCAGAATGACAATTGGTATACACGCCCCTATATCGGAGTTCGTCAGACTGTAGATTTCAGCCTTGTTGCTGATCATTCAGCCAGACTGATATCCTCCACAACAGTTTTTTGTGGTTGGCAAGAAAGCCTTCCGATGCCACAGTATATAGTAAACCTCAAAATAATGTCGCAATCTCTAATACCCTCATAAAGCTCCCAGACCTTGCTGACCTCTCTTCTCGCCGTCATCAGATTCAACTGCCAGATTTTACGAGCAAAGATGAAGCACATCAACAAATTGGCCCTGGCTGTGGCCTGCCTACCCGGTATGGTCCTCAACGCCGCCCCGGTCCCCGAGGACAACACCGCTAACGTGTCCTCCCAGGTTGGTGCGGGTGAGATCGAGCGTGTCAATCCGGGTGCCGAGCCTGCCGCCGCCTCCAACAGCCCCGAGGGTCACGCGGCGGCGGCGACTCCCGGTGCCTGTGACTGCGAGGGCAGTGACTGTGCCGATGTCGAGGCCGGAGGCCGCGGTGGGTACAACATGGTTGATGATAACAACACCAATTGCAGTGACGATGGCTGCGATGACCACCCCGACTGTGATTCTGGTTCGTCTGATGGAAGTAGCGGGCACCGGGTGCTCGTTATCGGGTCCCCCGACTCCGATCCTATTGCCACTGTTGATTTTCTCTAAATCATGTGGGGTGCTCACTGCTAAGCGTTGGCCATAGCTCATTGACATTGGTTCGAGACGCTGAGCATGGTGAGCTCAACGACACGAAACATGGCGACGGAGTTTGATCGGGAGTTTTTATCATTATCACAATATACAAACAAAGTATGCCTAGTTTAGACTAGAAGAATAAAATAACCTTAACCAGAGTCCAGAATTTGGCAGCAACAACCTGATGTGAAGTATTGTCGTGTACATGGGTAATACATACATGGATTGTCTACAGGTAAATGTGGGCCAGGGACGACTGTTTATGACCGCTTTGAGCTCACCTCGAAGGCTGCTTGTATAGACAAGATATTAAGCCCATGTGCAGATACCACTTATAAGGTACAATAGAATCGACAAATCTCATATCAACTAATCAGCTCCACTGTTTACATCCTGAGAGGTCCCTATGAGTAGTAGGAAGTAAGATAAGTAAGACCAGTGCCGTGCGAGCCGGTTCATGGCCAGAAGAGTGTACGTACCTGCAAGAAATGAGTCTCGAACTATGAAAGATACATGATCGCATCGAACGACTGCATGGAGTAAGATAAGAAGTATGTAAGGTACTATCGCATGACGACAAACGTGTAAAAATGAGGCAGTATGCATCTTGTTCATGGCAAAGAGGCGTGCAATTTGCCACACACTACGTATCTGTTATCTACATACATGCGAAGTAGTGTGTTTCCAGAGCAATAGTGTTGATTTTAGAGTTTCCGATCTGGCACGACCATGACCCTGTTATTCCCAGAATAGAGCGTTCGACCGTGATGGACCCGCCCCTAGAGTCGACGGCTCGAAAACTAGCAGCGATCTCACCGAGAAATGCAACAAAGCCGCTATGAAAACAGGGGTACCACGGAGTCTAGAATTTGCATGGGCTCGGAGCCAATTGCGAAAGCATTGAAGGTGTAGGTAGGTTGGTTATCAAGGTCGATAGTAGAGGTTTTGATGTGCATCTTCCAAGGAAGGAAGGAAAGATTACTCGGCCACCAAACGCTTCCCCAAGGTTAAGCTCTCCAAGCATAATGCTTATCTCTGTTCTGTGGTGAAAGCAGCCGAGACAGAGAACCTCATGTTTAGGGCTGCACTCTTGTGGCGTCGGTTCTTTTCTCTTGACTCGTGCTCGGTGCACGACCCGGAACCAGAGTTCCGTGAGTGTTCCGGGATGCGGGATCATGCGAACTCTGAACTGACTCGGACTGACTCAGGTTGCTGGCTGAATTTGGGGTCAATTTGAAGACTCAGACTCACCCACTGGGTGGGATTTAGTCTCCGCGGACAAAAGTCAGTGCGGAGGAAATCCGAAGCATCTCTCTGAGAGTCGCAGTTGTGTTGCTGGCCACCTTACCTTGACTAGCCGTGGCCGCGCTGCCGACCGGTGTTATCGCATTGTGCTGGTTGTCTCTCCCACCTCCAGCTCAAGGTTCACGCCCGGAAATTGGCGCCCGAATCCATGGAACAGAAGAACCAGGTACGAAGGTTAATTGATCGCATCGTACCACTCAGCTCAGCGCTGGAAGCATCCTTGACCTGTTCCTGCTTCCCGGATCCCTGTGCATTGGCCAATCTGGCGATTAGGGCTGGAGGGCAGCGGGTACCTCCCGCCAGACCCCCGGGACGCCCACGGGGGGCCGCTGGCTGCTGCTGAATTTTCAGTGCTCGTCCTGAGTGAAAGTTTGGAACGGTGCAGACCAACCCAATGACTGAAGGCTTTGGTGAGAGCGCACAGGTGAATCCATTTGTCACCCAAACTTTGACATCCTTGGGTTCCCCACCGCGTCATTGAACTTTATTCCCGGATCCAGGACGGAGCGCACTCCTTGGATGAGCTTGGACCAGAAGCAATTTTCCAGTTGGGTCGGGTCGCCTTCATGCAGTGGGATCGGGGATCGAACCGCAAGCGAGATGGCGTGGAGCAAATTTCTTGCAGTCATCGAACAGGCTACTCGGCAACTTACTTCTGCAGAACTACCTCGTGGCGAGTGCGTCGGTTGACTGGTGCCCTCTGATATTTGGTCTAGTCTAGTGGCTTGGTCTAGATAATGAGGTCCCCACCCGAGCAATTTCTCAGAGTAGCCGACAGGAGCCGGCCAACTAAGAAACAGAACCCAGTCTCGATTCTCGAACCATGTGTGCAGAATCCGTGCCTAAAGTTTAAAACCCATCCCTGCAAGCGCCATCAGGAATAAATATAACTAAAACGGCGATCCCCGTTTTCTTTGCTCGAGGCGATCGTCGCCGCTATTGCTACAGTCCCCCCCCCCCCTCCCCCCATCTCTTGCCGTTTCTCACGATGCACAATCCCGACGGCTCTGCCCTGGAAAAGGGTATATGGGTGGCCGTCGGTATTGCGACGGTGATCCTTATCCTTCGCGTTGTTGCGAAAATCAAAATCCGCCAGCTGTATGTCGACGATGCGTTGATGTTCATCTCTTGGGTACGACAGCCCCTTGCCTCGGCATTTCACTCAGAAAGCTTTTGATCATGAGTCGCTAACGTCTCAATGTCTCCATTTAGGCGTTGGCCCTGTCCTCGACGCTCCTCCTGACGCTCTCCGTGCGCGAAGGCTTCGGCTCCGACCTCACACTGCTTCCCACCAAGAATGTGGAGCACATCCTCAAGTACATCGCGCTGGAGGTGCTGCTGGTGACGATCAGCACGGGCATCGCGCGCTGCTCCTTCGTGATCTATCTGCTGGGGATCCTGGGCGGCAACAAGAAGTACCAGCTCGCGCTGTGGGTGGCGATGCTGCTGCAGCTGGCGGCCAATATCGTGTCCGCGGTGCTGCCCATGAGCATCTGCCGGGACGACCGGATCCTGTGGAATGCGAACATCAAGACCACCTGCGGCAACACGGTGGCGGTGGTGCGGTTCTCCTACTTCTCGTCGTGTGAGTTCTGCCCACGAAACCCTTTCGAGCTCTCGCTTCTTCGATTCGAGTCAACCAGACTAACAAGGCATGGCGATGGATACAGCCGTCAACACTGCGACCGACCTCTTCCTCGCCGTCTTCCCGACCATCGTCTTCTGGAACCTGAACCTCCGCCTCCGGATCAAGATCAGTTTGATCGTGCTGTTGAGTCTGGGTCTGGTGTATGTGGACCCTACCCTACCCCGAGGCCTTAGCTTCCGCCTACACGTACAATCAATCCCCCAAAACTAACACCAAACTAGGGCAATGATCGCCTCGATCATCAAAACCACCAAGCTAAAGGACGTCCCCAGCGTGACCAACATCGGGGCCTCGGGCGGGGTGGAGCTGATCCGCTGGGGGTTCGCGGAGAGCCTGATCATCATCATCACGAGCTCGGTGCCCTGCGTGCGGCCCCTGCTGATCTCCTCGGTGCAGAAGCTCTCGTCCGCGGCGCGGTCGCGCTCCTACGAGCTGTCCGGCCCCTACTCCAAGGGCAAGGAGTCGGCCCCCGGCGGCCACTACTACGAGCGGCAGGCGTCGGGCCAGCGCGACGACGCCGACAGCATCGAGCAGATCCTGAAGGATCTCCATCGGCCTCCGTCGGGGTCCGACCGCCGCCGGGACGAGGAGGGGGGGGTCGTCGTGGAGGGTGGGATTCAGAAGCAGGTCGAGTTCTCTGTGGTGACGGCGCGGGACGAGTCGTAGGCTGTTCTAATTTACCTATGATCATCTTTAATTCTATTGTAGCATTATCATGGATTTTTGAATGTTGTGTTCCTGTCTCCAACGCAGGGACTACCGGCGGGCGGGCATGTTTCACCCCCCGCGGACCGGGGAGATGGTGCGCGCGGGGAGAGAAACCGAAACCTGGAATTTTTTTCTTTTTTTTTCTTTTTTTTTTTTTTCTTTTTGGCGGTGGTGCCAGTTGCCAGTTGCCACCCATGCCGGTTTTCCCGCTTCTCAAATTTGAGGAGGGGACCACATTACCTAAGGTAGTACCTAAAAGGCCCTCTCCCCGCTTGTAGCCGTTCGGTAGTTGTAATTGGGTAAACCCGCGACCATCGCTACCAGAGTCTCTTTCGGCTTTCAACCAGTCAATCGCAAAAAAAGGGGGAATGCACTGGGCTGGCAGACTTAAGGTGTCTCAGATAACCCAAGCTACTGGAATCCTTTCAATCAAGTGGGTCATTATTTTGCCGGTAGTTTACCTACGGAGTAGTACTAGGTAGTCTAGGGCTCCTGCTTCCCTTGGGGTTAGCGTGGCCTAACCTCGCTAAGTTAGAAGTATGCAGTGGCCCGGCGGCCGGGGCTAGTCCGGATGCCATTCATCTCCGGGACTTCGGATCCATCGCGTCTCGCTTGTTTGGCGTGCTAATTTTGGGGCGCTGATGACTTTTAGAATGGGTCATTTCTCGTATTTATTCCTCGATTGTTCCTCGTCGTCTGTGCTGGGAGGTTGTTGTGTGATGGTTCTCCTGTTGTGTCTTTCATTTCAACCGTACTTCGGCCGTGATGTAGGGGGTTTGTTTGGTTGTTTGGTTGTTGAGACGTATGAAGTGACATCTTGAAGGTTCTTGTGATGGATGTTGATGCACGGCTTTGCCTCAATTCAATACCTCTGAGCATTGTGAGCGTGTCTCTTAGACTACTACATGGCTCACAGGCTTCGAGGGGGAAAAAGGCTCTCTGCTTATGTGCTAAGAAAGATAGGCTGATCGCAAGCAAACAGCTACGCTTAAGTGTCCTGCAGACATAGAGAGACCCTTCAGCGCACTGATTCCTGAACAGCAAATTCCCACCCAAGAGGGGGTTTTGAGAAGGGGAAGAGAAAGGGTCAAATGGGGCCCACGTGCTCTAACCACTACTTGAGGCCTGCGAGCTCCTTTTCTATTCACTTGTTATGCTCGACTCAAGAGCCCTCCTCCTCAAGTCACTTTTCCTAAGTGAAGTCATTCATTTGACCAGACCCAATTGCTCTTCCTGTCCATGCGCCAGGCAGGCTTGCCTTCCCACTTCACAACTACTGTTTGCCAGTTGGATCACTCCATCGTGATCCTCCCCCCCACCAGACTCGATTCGAACACCGCACCTGCACTTCATCCTAAGCAACCAAGCGGCGGATACGAGCACAGTGCAGCTAGAAGAGAACAACCCGAGAACCCCCATCTTCAAAGCGCGAGGAAACAGTCCCGCTTCATAGTTACAAAGCTATATCCCCCTCCCCGAAATTAGGGCTACACTTCATACTAATACCCATCCACCACCCCTCTTTCCACCTCCTCCCTCCGCCGTTCCTCATCCACCGCCCACCACCACCCAACCAACTCATCCCCCTCCCCCTCCCCCTCCTCCCGATCAACCTGCCACGGCTTCACCGCAAAAATATAATGCACATTCTTCACCGCCCCATCCCGCCAGATCCCCGCATGCGTACCCTCACCCCCACCCTCACCCCCACCCCCACCCACCCCGCGCATCGGCTTCAACGCATTATACACATACGGCAACGCCCGCCACCGGCCCCGGAACACATTCGACAGCAGCTCCTGGTCCGCCAGCGCGTACCGTTTGACCTGCTCCGTGTCCTGGAGCGCCGTCTGCACCGCGACGAAGTCGGCCTGTCGGGGCTGCACGACCAGCAGCCCGCTGTTGAGCATCGCCACGCCCGCGGTAGCCGGGGGACCGGTGGTTTGCGCCGTGTCCGGGGTGGGGTGTTGGGTTGTGTAGGCGCAGTTTGCGGGGGTCCTTTTTTTTTTTCGGTTCGCAAAGTCAGTCTTGGATGTAGTGTATAGTGGTAGTTCGGGGATGGGGGGAAGTGGGTGGTTCTGGGCGGAGGGAGGCGAGGGTGGCGTACCAGTCCCTCGGATAATGCTGCTTTTTCAGCGGGTTGCAGGCGCAGGCGTGGCTGGCCGCCAGGATGCGGTCCTCATCGAGGGGAATCTCCATCAGCTCGTCCATGTTCTGCCGCACGAGCATGTCGCTGTCCAGCAGGACGATGCGGGCGTAGTCTTCCAGCGCGAACACGATGAGCTTCTTCCACGCTTCCGCGAAGCGGGGGTCGTGCTCGTGGGTGCAAGTCCCGGACGGGGTGATGGTGGGGACCTCGCGGGAGGGGATGCCGCGGGCGCGGAGGGCGGCGACGCCTTCGTCGGGGAAGGAGGTCGTGTAGAGGGCGATGAAGGGGTAGGGGGTGTTGGTGCGGTGGAGGGAGTGGGCGAGGGTTAGGAGGCCCGGCAGGTAGTTTAGGTTCGTGATCAGGGAGGCCCAGACTTGGGGTTGGGGTTAGTAAGTTAGTGGTCGGTCTGTAGGTGGGTAGGGCTGTACTGTACTGTACCTTTTTGCGGGGGTTCGGCCATGGTGATGGTTCTGCGGTGTCGATGGGAGGTTCTGCTCTGGGGTTCTGCGGGGGCGGGCTCAGGATGTTATCACCGCATACAGGCGGGGATCGAGAATGTATATATATGACGTACGCACCGTACTTTGTATCGCGATTGCTGGGCAGAGATCGAGATTTCGATCGATGGGTGCCGATCACGGAGATCAGCTCAGCTCGCCAGCGTGGGCAACCTGGAATTGAGAATTCAGCTCCAGACCCACTTCTTTATCTTGGCTGCGGAACTAAAGTTCCGGCACGGCCAATGAGAATGCTCGGACAGGGGTATGCTTGGAGCTGAGGGCTGTTTGTGCCCCTTGATGCTCGGTGTTCGTCCGGTTGAGGCAAGGTAGTCTTGCAGAACTGTCTCGTGCAGGTGCATGAATCGATTGTGGCAGTCGTGGATCCACCGCATGTTTGTTTTTCATTTGGATGAGCGGATGAGATCGAGTTTCTTGATACTCAATCAAATCATCACAAAGCACCAAATGGGGTATCCCGAGGGGGTTAGCTGCCTTTGTGCCCGAATGCTCAGTGCTGATCTCAGCTCATTCTCTTTCTTGATCTCCGTTGCGATTAGCCCTAATTCCCTGTAGAACTGAACCCCTGCATCAGGTTACACGTAGCAGTGATCATGCCCCGTCCCGACCCGCTCCGTCCCGTTCCCGTCCCAGATGGACAGCCGTCCTTATCCGCCCTAATCCGCCCCGAATCAAGGCAGTTCCACTAACATACAATTACAAGCAGCGACCGGGTGAGCAAGCTCTCTGACCCCGCTCAGCCTCGTGGCAAGATGTGAGACAACGGGTGTCCGGGCTGTAAAGGAGGATGGCTAGGAAAGTGGACCGATTTACAAGACTAACAGCACTAAAGGAACCAGATCGCGAAACTAAAGGCACTAAAGAGACCAGACCACAAGACTAACGACACTAAGGAGGCACAATCATATGACCAACCGCGTCAAAGGCACCTCAAAGTGCAGTAGAGCTAACTGGTCCGGACAGACCAGATAGAGACTTAGTCCCCTTTCCATCGAATGCGGATCTTCGCTGCCCTTTGAGACGATGATTTTTCCGGCCCGAATCCATCTAGAAGCGAACACAACACAACACTACCTACTACAGACACCCAACCCGGACACACCCAGTACCCAGCCCCGCGTAGCCCTCAGCCCTACCCCCTCTCCCACCGCGCTTTTGTCCTTCCTTCCCGGCCTCCTCCACCCACATATCTTCACCCCCCAACCTTCAAAGCACAATCGACTACTCCGCCGTCTGGACAAGCGCAGAGCCCTTCCTCCCCCCAATCCAGCACCAAACATTCAACAACCCACCGCCTGCACCCACGCCGCGCCCGCCAGCGTAGACAACGCCGTCAGCCCATGCCGGTAGAGCGGGGCATCGCCCGTCCGGAAGATCTGGCCCCCGCTGAATCCGGATAGATTGGCGGCCATAATGATGAGTCTGCTTGCGTTAGTTTTTCTTTTGATTCCAGTATTGAGCGAGTGATTTGTAGATGAGATACGAACGCAAGAGCCACGCTTCTTTCCTGGGGCATGGTGCAGTTCACTGCTAGCCAGGCGACGTTTACGATGCTTTGGAAAAAGTATTAGTTGCGTGGAAGAAAGAATAAATATGAAAGAAAGAAGGACAGAAAGACTGGGAAAGAAGGAAGGTAAGAATCGTCAGGGCAAGGACGTACTGCATGGCCGCATACCCCACGCTCGCCGCGACGGGGGTCCCGTCCTTATGCTGCCCGCTCGCGGTGGTGGGCATCTCGCGGAGGCAGATGTAGCCGATGAGGTTCCAGGTACTGCCTAGGTGGACGGGCGTCGGTCGTGCTTGTGGGTAGGAGGAGAGGGGAAAAGATGCCGATGAGGATGGTTATGAGGCCTTCAACTGTAAGGGTTTAGTATGCGGTGAATAGAGGGAGATAGAGGAGGGGATGCTACCAAGGGACACCCATCGCCACCCGGCTAACCCACGCGAGTGATCAATTTTCAACAGCCCGGCGGAGATCAGATTCGAGGTGGCGGCGGAGAACTTCTGGCCAAAGAAAAACAAGGTGACCCGGGAACTCAGCTCTTTCTTCTTGTACCAGGTCGACAGGTAGAACAAAGCCCCGAGGATGTATCCGCCCTCTAGCAGGCTAAGGAGTAGTCGCGTGGCGAGGAACGAGGCGTAGTTCGGCATCAACGCCTGGAAGGTGGCCACGAAGCCCCAGGCGAGCAGCTGGAAGGATCTCGGTGAGCACGATTCCGGCGGACAGCAGCTGTGAGCCGACGTTGATCTGGTTGGGGGTGATGGTGAGGTCTGAGGTGATTGTCGAGGTCAACACCGTGCTGATGTTTCCACAGTCGAGCTGCAGAGCGAAGAACGCGAGGCCTAAGATGGGCAGGAGCATGGAATCGATCCTATGTTAGAGTGGGCAAACATGTTATATAGGGTTGTGAGGGCAGGAGTGCTGGCTAGTGCTTACTTGCGACGGACACGTCATTCTTCCGATTGAGTCCATTGTGGTCTGCTAGGGTCAAGCTCCAACACCTCTCCATCCAGGCTTTTCCCAGCGATCTCGAACATCGTGCAGGGAAAAAGTGCTGTGATAACACCTTGATGGAATTAGGGAAGAATGTCAAGTGATGATAACTGGAGTCAGGAGGAGAGCAGCTTCCACCCTCCGTTAATATGTTCATAGATTCGACTTAGGGCTATTGCACCATCAGCCACCCAGATGAGCAGGCGTGAGACAACGCTCGTCTTGTCTAGCTAAACTCCGTGTACACGGCGAAAGACGGCATGGCAACAGACGGATAAGCACGCTTGAACGAGAGCATATCCATTGCCGGTGACACCATCAGATAGATGCTACAAGACGCGAACAAGTTTACTCGGCAGCTGCGTACATTGCCTATCTACAGATCACCCAGTGAGCCAGCCACAAGTGGTATTCCGGCGGCGAACTAAGGGGAACCCACTCTAACACATCTTATATTATCTACCTCATCGCGATGACCTCTAATGACCTCATCACAGCTCCAGTCTTATATGGTCGCTCGAATACTGGCCATTGCTACCAGCATTCGCAGACTCCCAAGGATAAAACGCATCATCCTGCACATTGACCGCGCTACTCCTTCCGAGCGACCGGCTTCTGGAGTCCAAGGCTTCAGCCAGAACACGCACCGACTCCTCGCCGACCAGAGACGCAGCGACCTGCGCCGTGAAAACAGTCTCGAATCCCGTCCGTTTCGCCTTTCCGATCGACTTGGCAACCTGGCCGTTTTTCTCCTGCGAGACTAAATAGAATTGCCACGTGCGTGTCTCGGTATCGCCATTCCAGGACACATACACCGTCAATCTACCCTGCTGGCTGCGCACCGCCAGGACCGCGGGCTCCTCAGGCGAGAAGCCGGTCCACTCGGCCCGAAACCCGCGGTAGCTCTGCACGTTCTTCGACGGCTCCGAATCCAGGTACGCATGGAAGAGCACCTCCCCGTCCTCGGCATACTCGGTCACCGCACCCGCCTGGCCCCAGTTGACGAAGACGTTTCCATTGGCCAGCAGCTGCACGTTGCCCTGGGACTTGGTGGACAGCGCGTCCGGGGGAGCGTATGTGCGCACCTCGGACGCCGTGCTGGCGGTGTGGTTGAGTTCCACGATGCGCGCCCGGGAGAACGAGTTCAGGGCATGGCCGGGGACGGTGTGCATCGCGTTGTCGAAAAAGGAGATCTGCTCGATGGTGCCGTCGGCGGAGCGGTACCGGAAGCGCGCGTCGTGCTGGTGGGCGAATTGCACACTGTCAGGGATCTCAAAGTCGGAGCCTGCGCGCCCGCCCAGCTGCCAGATGATCTCGCCGTCCGTGCCGTTGATCTTGAAGATGGCCGCGTAGTTGCGCGCGGAGATCAGGTAGTTGCCCTCGTCGTCCTTGTCCACGCTGTTGATGTGGAAGTAGTTCCAGGCGTCGAAGGAGGAGCGTCCTCCGAATGGGCCGGTTTCTTCCAAGGGGAAATGGGTGTCTACTCGAGAGATTGGGTTCGTGTTGTATTATGCTGGTGGTGGCTAAGCTGGGGGTACTCACATTTGGGGCTGACGTGGTCATAGCTGTACCATTCAAAGAGAACTTGACCGGTGTGGATATCGAGCTCTATGTTTTGAGAAGTAAGTATATTAGCTTGTGAAGATCAGGGCGGAGACTGAAGCTCACCTTGAAACCCATTCGTCACAACCCACGTCTGATTCTCATCACCCCCGTAGGGTGAAAGATCGGTAGGGATTGCGACCGGCGTCTCAATCAGAACAGTCTCTCCCTCTAGTACCTGGAACTCGTGGCACGAGACCAGTCGATGCGATCCTGCTCGGACCGTTTTGATGGCCTCGTAATGGTCGTCTAAGATGACATGATCCCCGTACATGCGGCCGTGCGGGGCATCGAGTCTCCCCTGAAAGGCACGCAGGACAAGCCTTTCGTCGACCACGGTGGGCCCAAAGTCTGCCACCCACCCGGCTAGATAGCCGGTGGCCGACCAGACCAGATCTCCATCGTTGGTGAAGATGTACGCGCCGGGCTGCTCGGGACCGATACTGCCGGCGTCGAACCCTAAGTACGGCGCGGTGAAGATGTAACCGGGAGCTGTGGAGGCGGCAGCGGAAACAGTGATGTTCAATTTGGGAGGAGATAGGTCTGGCCGTGATCTATACTGCCAGTCTGCAGTCGCCAAGCTAGCCAGCTGGCTAATCAAGGTGAAAAAGACAATCTGAGAGCGAGTCATTGGGGGTATTGACACCAGACGGAGATGCAGGGGAATCAATGTGGCCGTCAGCACAAGTAGCAACAACAATTTATAAGGTACTTTATACTCTACGTCGACTGTATTCGTTCCCGATGTTCTCCATTTTGATGCCATTTCGGAGATAATCACGTCACACGGGCCGGCTCGGTACGGCGGCCGTCTTGGCACGGCATTCACTATAAAACTCCGTGTCCATCCCCTCATCGCTCGATTGCTGTCACCACTTGGTTGCTGCATGATGTCCCTAAGCACTACTACCTCTAGTTCTGTTCCTAATTCCCGCCCACGGGCCAAGCAAGCCTGTCTGCCTTGTCGCAAGAAGAAATCCAAATGTCCCGGCCAGAGACCCGTATGCGCGCACTGTGCGCGATTGCGCCAACCGTGCTCGTATGACGATCGTCGAGCAGTTAGCCTCAGTCTACACAAAAGTCAAGTAATATTACAGGAGTTGAGTGACGCGCAGCCCAGTCCTGCCACAGGCCGTGTTCCAGTAGCACCCGATGTCCCCCTCACTAGGCTAGCCCTGCCGCCCTGGGTCCAAGTCTCAGAGATCGCGCAATTGTACTTGCAATGGGTGGAGTCGCAGCCGTTCCCACTTTTCCATCATGACACCTTCCTCAACACTCTCCAGTCCCGGGATATGAGGCTCATCTACGCGTTGCTTGCGGTGGCGGGGCGCTTCTCGCCCCATTCGGAGCATCCTGGCGGAGAGGAGGTCTATGCCGGGTACAGGCAGATCGCTAATCGGCTGGTTATGGAGCATATCCTCAGCGGGGACGTGGCTATATGGACGTTGCAGACTCTCGTCCTGCTTGCCACGGCTGCAGGGCTCGATGATGATATCCAGCACTTGCATTCCTACATATCACTGCTGGTGTTCTGGGCGAATGTAATACCCTGCTCGACAAGACCGGCTGGAAGGGCAGGGCTCGAGTACGACGACGAAGCTCTTCGATGCCGTTGGAGTATTATTCTCTTGCAGAAGTTCTACTCGACAGCCACACATCCTATGAGCGATGTCTTCACCGAAGATGCCCGCCTCAATGAGCAAGCGCCTCGACTTTTTCCCAGCAAAGTCAGCCCAACTCCTTCACCCGAGGAGTATCAGTACGCAGACCAAGGGATCGTGATGACGACCATCTATCTAAGTGAAGTCTGGTCCCAAGCACGATCATACGTCCGCAGCCGTGGACACGCCAACAACGGACCCCCGCCGTGGTCGTACAAGTCCGCATATTCCCAGCGGATGTCACTGCTGCTCCAGATCGGGGCCAACCTGCCTTCCTTCCATCGGTACGCAGTGGTCAATCCCGAGGCTCAGACCCTGGAAGACATCAACGCAGACCGGGAGTACTGGGCGCCGTGGTTTCTGAGTCGGTTTCTGTACCACACCACCGTCTGCCTCTTGAACCACCCGCTCCTGGTCATGCTCTGTGCCCGAGAGAGGTGTCCCGTGCCGGAGATCCATCTGCAGCAGACCTCCTCCCTCATCTCCCACCACACACGCTGGATCTCCGACCTCTTGATTCTCCTCGAAGAGAAAGCCTTCAGGATTACTGATCCCATCGTGGGGTACTGCGCTGCCATCGTGGCCACCATCGAGCTCCAGCTCCAATACACCGGGTCGACAGATGAGCGAGCAATTAAGAAGCAGCGGCTGCAGCGCTGCGTCGATATGGTCGACCAGCTGGGAGCGATTTGGCCCGCGCTGCGTAGACTCGTACGTTTTTGTCCTGGCCCCTATTCCATTTCTCTTCTTGCTTCCCCCGCTCTGCCCTCGCATCAGCAGTCTCTCAGGTACTGATTTGCTTTACGCATGGAAGTCCACCACCCTCCACCAACTCATCCACGACACCGCAACAGCCTACCAACAAAGCACCCAGCACAACACGGACTTTCGCGTCCGACTGTCCGGCTTCTGGGAGGTTCTCGAGTTTCCCACCTCCATTGCTGCAACTACAATGGCAGCAACAACGACACCCCAAAGCCAGTCCCGCAGAAGCGATCACCAGCGCTCGTGCCAGCCATCATCTCAGTCATCCCAACAACAACCAGAAGAAGACCCCGGGCTCTCCCGACTCGAGTACCCCTACCGAGTGACGCGATCCCGCCAACAGACCGGGCAGAAACATTACCCAGCCACAGAGCGAAACCCTGCTTCGCCCTCCGCCTCCATTAACGCGACTATTGCCTTACCGACTGCGTACAACAATACCGGCTTCATCGCTATGCCGGATCCTCTAGCCCTATGCCCCACAGACCCGCTCTTCGGGCCGGAGTTCTTCGAGTTCGGTGCACAGATTGGTAGGGGGCATTTTTGATTATGTCTTGTTGGCTGGATCGTATCAGGCACGGTAACGGTTACGGAACACTCTGGGTTGGACTGGGTTTTGGGAGTGTGGTGCTTGGTCGTTGCTGTTTGTAGTTACATGAAAGTCGATATAGGGTGGTGGACTCACTACAGGCGGTTGGTGAAATGTTGGCGTGTTGGAATTTATGATACCAATGTCCTTATTTGGATTTGAACAGGGGGTAAAGAGATATGTATGCAATTTTGAGTGAGGTAATCAAAGGGTATACAATGAACGACTCGAATGATATGGACAGAGGGTAATTTATATCACCCTCCCCCCCTTGAGAGTCATGCCTTGTGTGCTCTCTATCGGGTTACGAACGCCCCGTCGTTCTTATCCAATCGAGCAACCGAAACCTCGTCACGTCAGTCAATTCACACGTGAAACGTTCTCGAATCTCCCCACGGAATTCATCTCAATGCCGACCCTGGATTACGCGCCTCATGAGCAGGACGGATAAGCAGAGCGAGGCCATTGTCCACGTGATGACGGCTTAGGAGGGGTGGATAGAATCATCGCGGCTTCTGCTGCTTATCTCTGGGCTTTGAGTTGACGGTGAGAAGGTTTCATCGGGAGAGACAGGTTTGGCCATTTTGACTGTGAGTTGCAGGCCCAAGGTAACAAGGAAGACAGGCAACAAGGAAAGATGAAGATAAATAGTACCTGTTGGAAGCGGGAGGACCGGATGGAAAGGCCAATGGATCACGTGCATCTAGGGGTCTGAATCTACTCTTGTAACGTCTCCCCTATCGAATGCTTTGTACAACGAAAACGAACTGCACTGCGCAGACTCTGCTATCCTAGGCACAGAGCGGAGAGTGCGCTCCCTGGTATTTGGATTCACACGCTTTGCTCCACACACCTTTCGAGGGCTACCGGTGTTTCCGGTAGACGTAAAGGAGAAATATACCAACTGGCAGCATCCCCAGTGAGAGGATCGCTGTTCTGGGCAACTTGAATACAGCGTCCAACCAATTCACTCCCTGCTTCAATTACCATAGCTGACCTTCTCAATGTCCGCGAGAACCTAATCAGCCTTGGTGTATCGGGAGGTCCAGCACTGATGAATGATGTCTCCATATCGAATACCCTCCACCGGCGGAAATATTCCTCGAGAGTAGTTTTGTGCAATTGTCTCCCAATCATCGTCACCGATTTCCTCATACGGGCGGTACCCGGCCACGATCTCGAAGATCAGACAGCCCAGAGCAAAGAGATCGGTCTGAATGGATCGAGGGGACTCAGGAGACAGTCTATACCGGTCCTCTTCCGTGACCAGCGGCGGCATGTCGCCGATGCCCGAGCCGGCAAAGCCACACAGCTTGAGTGAGAGGTCATCCGCCACCAGGAAGTTGCGCGCGCTGATGTCTCCGTGGATCACGGCGTGGCTGTGAATGAATTGCACGGCGCGAACTGCATTCTGGATCCAGGTATCCTTGGTCGCATTGTCCACGTGCGCGTGGTTCTTGCGGATATGGTCTCGGAGATTAACATGGCGCATATAAGGGAAGCGGATGCCACTACTGAAAAAGGGGGTTCACAGATGTGTAAGCGGCAGCATATCTAAAATTACGACCTGCGGATCTCACGGTTGAAATATCGTGGTAGGTGAGTCAACTGGCGAACTGTTAGGTAGCACTTCCGTGCCGTACATCTCCGGATAGATGCCACCCCTAACCAGGTTTACTGGTTCATCAATGACCTTTATCCAGGATTCTTATCATAATGGGGATACAGACACGGATTCGGTATGCCTTAGCTAGGATTGAAGTAAGAACAATTAAGATCGACTGGAGCCAATGTTACCCCCACATATCGCTATGCGCGTCGTGCATCAAGCTTTTATCCTCAAGGCCTCTGCATTTTCAACAGGGTAAATCGGGCTATGCGGCGATCCTTTTTCCAGAGCGATGCGAGCTAGGGACTGGATCAACATGTGCATGAACATCGATCCTGCATGACTTTCCTGCATTGCCCCCAAAGCGCTCGTCAAAGAGAACCGTCGGCCAGAGGATATTCTTGAGCCGATATTTTTATGGCGCTTGCCGAGGCTGATGGTTGCTGGCTGAAACATTCTCGTTAGCTCGGCGTAGAGGAAAGTCAGTAACACGGACCTCGGCGCGGTACCAACAATATGGACCGTATTGACCTGGAACCTATTACTCGGGAACCTAGAATGTAGGTATCTTGCTATATTCTCGCTCGTGTCTGTCTCTCAGGCCCCGAGATAATTTTCGGCCCATACTGAGGTTTTGAAAAATTTAGTACGTGAGTGCCATCAGACAAGGCTTCCTGAGTCCATAGCCCAGCTCATCAGTGATCATCGTCAAAATGCAGTGTGAGAGCGACTACCTAGTGGACCTGGAAGCTGACAGTGGTATGACTTAATGATTGATTGCTATGAGCAGCCGGTGGGTAGTTTGGGCACAGGCAGAAAAACACCCTCGACCGTCTGATCTGAAATCTGAAACAGTTACAAAGTAGACTGCATCCGGCAAACAGCAATTCAGCATGCAGGTCCTTTCTGTGCTGGGGGGGTACGATTCTGGCCCAGTGGCAGTGGAACAATGGATGTGGTTCAACACCGTGAGTCAATGCTTGGGAGTTACTGAGGGAGAGTGAGCTGACGTCTTGAAGATGTAGCGTCTCAGTTCTTAAGGAATGGTCTTTTTTTGACATTGGTAAATCGAGTTTTTGTCTTCACTTCTCGGACAGCTAGAAGGATATCTCGTGGTTAAGACCTATAGGCACTGAGGTCCGCGTACACCACAACCAGATTCTATAGGCGCTGGCCCTCTCGTTTATCCACCACACCCTCGATCGCTTTCTTGATCTGCACTTGTACCTAGCAACTTGCGGGACCTGGAAAATGGAGGCTGCATGTTCAATCATTGAGACTAATCAATGGCTGATCACCGTCATTAGATCTGATCTGTGCGGTGTAGGACTCGAATTCTGTGTGATAGTATGTCGGATAGGCATTGTGACTTGATACCCATTCATGACAGTCATGGCTTTAGAAGAGATGAATATACCAATCTTTGATTACATGGCAGGGTAAAACCGCAGAGCAGCCAGCCACTAATCATCAAGCCATCGCAACGGGATTCTGACTATTACATCTACTTCAACCACTAATCCTCAATCTCATGAACAATCACATCATCACTCAGCTCCTTCAGCTTTTTGATGCACTCCTCACTGAGAGGCCTGAAAGATACCGTCAGTCTCTGAAACAATCAATTCAGTGGTCACAGGCTTACGGGGGGTAGCAGGTCGGAGGTAGCGCTCGGTTGCAGATCCAGATGTCCTGGTCGGTATCATCTTGGATGATTCTATTGTGGGTTTGGAGTCAGCCGCATCAGAATGGTTGGATTCGAGGTTGATTTGCACTCACTTCCTCACATTGTCATCGTACTTGTCGTACGCCTCGATGCTCTTGTAGCTGTAGTAGATTCTCTATGTATGATCAGCGGGTGAGCTTGGAGCCTCCGAGGGCCGGCGACTGTGGGGTTGACCTACCTTCTTATCAACCATTGTGTGTGATATGCCTTCCTTCTCCTGTGCAAGGAGGAAACTAAGACGAGTGGGTTACATGGCCCTTTTCTAATCTCGTTGTTCTCCTCCTCCACGGATTGAAATTCCGTCGGGTTGTCATCCGGACCAAACCTGGTTGCGTGTCAATCTCTAAGAAAAGTTCCCGTCGATTCCAAATGGAGTCCCGACGATCAGGCTTTTTGGACATGTCGTCAATTGGCTTGGGGGGCTGAGTAAGTGATATTGCTAATGTATCGCTGTGAAATATCTTGCAGTCAGAATCTATTCGCGTGACAACAGAGCCAAGGTTTATTCTACGCTATAACATAAAGATCCTACCTAGACTCCCTGTTACTGTGTGCAGTAGAGCCCGCGTGGAATTCATTCAAGCAGCGTGTTCTCCATAGCAGTAGCTAGTATGCTCTTCCATGACCCTCCGACCACCCTTACTACGTACCCCTCATCAAGACGCATGTGAATCATACCCATAGAGCACTGTAGTGTCTACCCTCATCAATACATCACCAGACACAACATAATTCAGCAGCCTATCAAAATATCATTATGTACCCCCGCTACCTAGTATGCTGCTGCCTGAAGAGATGATCCGAACCTATCAGCCCCAAGCCTTACGAGTCGCATCCCTCAATTCTAGATAAACAAAGTCAGTAATCCGCTCCACACTCGGAGAACAATTCCAACCCCACCAAATAGATCAGGTTCCCGTCCTCATTCTTGATTCGATCGGCCAGGTACAAGCCCTGCAACTCCCGGTATTCCCCGCCGGCACCTTTCAGAAAGGCCGTCAGCCGGGGCCCCCGCTCGGTCTGTTCGAGTTCGATGTCGCGTGCGCTGTGGCTGAAGTCATGTCCGCCCCATTGGAAGCCTCCTGTTGTGGTTCGAGCTGTCAGTCTTCACTGATCCTTCCAGAGAATCTCAACTCAAATTATGTTTTGATTTCAACTCGGGAAAGGTGGATACTGGGTACAGCTGGACTGACCGTTCGCATTCCCGATGTGACGATCCAAGGGAAACGTCCGTGCGACCATCTCGTTGTTGCGGCGGCGGACCTCGGCGTGGAGGATGGTGCGACCGTCCTCCTTGATGAGGTGAATGTTCTGGCAGGAGGTGTGGAAGGACATGTTGTTTGATATACAGTTCCAAAGGTGGAGGTGAAGGTATGTTGAAGCTGGGTCGAAGGTGGAAATGGGGAATCGGGGTGGACGGTCGCGGGGTTAGGGCTATATATGCGGGCGGAGATGTGGGTGTTGCGCATGGCTGCCCTTTGGGCGCTGCAGCGTGCATTCGACTGCACTGTACAGGCTGCATGACGACATCTTGCTTCGCGAGGTCGTGACCAGCGCGAATGGGGCACTGTTGTCACTCGTATGATGTGGAATGTCAGGTTGCGTTGCGTGGTGGGGTTCTGTGGGAATCGATTGCTTTTGTGAGGGCATAAGCGTTTACTACAGTATATTCACTGCCTTGCGAACGATCTTTCTATAGCTTATCTTCATCGATAATGTTCTTTCTCTTTTGATTAGCACACTCGGTGGATTATGCATCTCCTGTGGAAAAGCACGTTAGGAGATCTTCGCCAGTTATGATAGAAAGCGCCACGGCAGCTGGCTGATCACAATAAGAACCATACACTGTGGATTACCTACATTGATCGACGGGTAAGAGAAGAGATCAGGTGCATCACAATAGTCACAGCTACCACGAGCCGAGCCTTGATAGTTCTTTAATGAGAAGAATTCAGTGGTAAAAAGACAGCCTATGGATCTGGATTAGACCTTTCACTTAGGATATATTGCACTGGAAACCCTTCTCCGGGGAGCCTCTGAGTATCGTATGAGAAGACAGAACAAGCAGCATTGAGCTCCTAAATAGTAACTCAACAACTAAGTTCCATACATAGCCCTGCCGGCTTCGACCATATCTCCACCAAAAGAACATCTCATCTAGGTATGCAAGCAGAGTATTCTTTTTCCCCGAAGCCCAGTATCGAGAAGGTAAGTCCGACCAGCAGGGCGAATGCTCTGACATTCGAATCACCCTGAGATAAAAGGTCGCGGACGAGGTTCTCAACTTCCGGGTCGAGCAGACACCGGGCTTCTGTACCCTCATTCCTGATAACACTCTATGCCTAGGGATCTCTCGCTAGTTTGGAGAAGATTTGCCTCTACATTCAGCGTTTGGCTACCTATGAGCTGTCTGATGTTATAAATTTTGTGAAACGCATCCCACAGCAGCTGGGGGTACAAGAGAAATGGCCGTTGTCGGTATTGCTGGTTTTATTGAACGGTAAGTGGATGACTAGATTGTCCGTTGACTCAACATAATTCCTGGGAGCCGTAACCCGTGTCGCTCACTCAGGTAAGTGAAAATCATGAATCCAAAGTCATTGAGGTATGGGGCAATAAGATGCAGTCTAGGATGGAAGACTTGCTTGCTGGTAGTTGGTGAAATAAGGTGGATGAGGTTTCCGAGGTGGCCTGACAAGTGATTGTGCTAAAAGAAAAAGGAAAGTAAAAAAGACGTAAAAAATGAAACAAAAAACGCAAAAAACAGAAAAATTGGAATGAATCAGAGACTGTGTAGATGTTTGTTTGCCGATTCAAACATGATCGGATAAAGAATCCGAGATTCTAACGCGCCGGCACGCACCCGTGACTGGAAAAGAAAATTCAAAGTCGCGTCGGGCGACCTCCTTCCACCCTAGCAGAGATTGTTCAAGTTGGTCTGGTTATGAGCAGAGCCACTGAGCGATCAAATATTACACACATGCAAACTCTTCTTTATGGAGCCCATCATCCCAGCCCCATCATTCCCGTTCTCTTCATCTTCTACTAGGCCCAAGGTTAGGACAGCCCGCCTTCGCAAGGGGTCGGAATCGTGCGGCGAGTGTCAGCGACAAAAGACAATAGTAACAATCCCTCGCTTTCTCATTGATCCCTAACCATGGTTAAGATGACGATAGTGCCGACTTAGGGACGAGGCCGCTGCCTGCGAACGTTGTACCAAGCATCGACTCGCCTGTACCTTCCACACGGACCAAGATGGGCGACAGAGCTCGACCTCTCGGCGGAGATTTGAAGAAATGCGGGCGGAACGGGATACTCTGGTCGAGTTGTTCCAAGCTCTGAAGAACAGTTCAGACGCGGATATTGCGCCTTTGTTGGACCTCATTCGCAGCAAAGCAAGTCTTGCCGATATAAGACTGTATCTCGACAACGACAGATCTCAACATCGGCAACAGAGGTCCTCACCTCCCAACGTGGAAGATAAATCTTCAACCCTGGTCGAGAATGCTGAACATGCAAATCAGTGATAAGATACGACTCGTGGCAGATCAATGTGCTTTGCGCATGATACAGCTTCCCATAGTCCAAATGCAAGGAAGCACACCGGGAGGATGCCAAATGGCAAGGGCAGAACGTATCCGGCTCGATGAATTCACCCCCATAACACGAACTCAAAATCCAGGGAAAATTAATGCTTCACCCCCTACGAGATAGATCCCACCGACTTTGTTCCTGACAGCAATTTCACGGGCACCATGACACTTCGAGATACGCGATGTATTATACCGAATCACGCTATAGATCTCTTCGAGCAGCAACCTAAAAGTAACTCGCCACCGGCTCTCCCAACACCTCCAAGCGCGGCATGATCCCCAACCCGGGCGCTGTGGGCGCCGAGATCCTGCCATCACGCACCTCAAACTCCCCATCCGCCGTCTTGAGCGCCACCATATCGCGAGTCTCCAGGACACACCGCAGGGACCGCTCCGGCACGGTCTGGCCGAGATGCACGATGGCCGCGAACGCAATATCCGACCCCGTGGTCTCCTGCACGCTGACCGTATACCCGGCCGCGAGGCAGATATCCCGCTGCCTGCGGCCGCGCGTCAACCCCCCGTTCTTGGAGATCTTCAAGCCGATGCCCTCGGCGGCGTCGTCCGCCACGAGCTGGATCACCGACGCATCGTCCGTGGCCAACTCATCGAAGATGATGGGCACGTCGGTCCGCCGCCGCAGCGAGAGACACTCCCGCCACGTCGCGCAGGGGGCCTCGAGCACGAAGTCCAGCCCCGGCGGGACCAGCCGCAGCATCCGCAGCGCCATCTCCACCGTCAGCCCGCCGTTCGCATCGACGATGAAAAACTTCCCGGGTTGGCGATCTTGCAAGGAGGCGGTGATCCGCGCTGCGTCCGCGGCCGGATCATCGCCCGCGACCTTCACCGAGTGGCCCCGGTACCCCCGGGCGCGGTGGTCGGCGACGCGCTGCCGCATCTCGGCCGGCTCGCCCACGTGGATCGAGCTGATGACCGGCATGGGCGTTTTGGTGCGGCCCCCGAGCAACTCGCAGACTGGCAGGCCGACCGATTTGCCGAAGACGTCCCAGCAGGCGACGTCGAGGGCGGTCTTGGCGTGCGCGTGGCCCACCAGCGCCGCGTCCATCGCCTCGTTGATGCGGTCGACCCGTCGTGGGTCGAGGCCGAGGAGGTGCGGGGCGAGCTCGGCGATGCCCGCGCGCACGCCGCGCGCGTGCGAGGCGATGTACGTCGCGCCGAAGGGGGTGCTTTCGCCCCAGCCCTCGAGGCCGGTGTTGGTGGTGAGGCGGACGATGGTCGCGTCGAAGCTGGTGTAGGTGCGGCCGCCGGAGAGGTGGTAAAAGCCGCCGGCGTAGGGGAGGTCGACTTGGTAGACGTCGATGCGGGTGATTTTGAGGGTGGACATTTTGCTGGCCCAGCGGTGTGTAGTCGATAGACGAGAAATCCGATGCGTGGCTTCGTTGGTGCGGCTCATAGGCAGGAAAGACTGTCTCATATACCCTGGCAGTGGTCAGGTGAGATCCTGTGCACGTACCGTGTTCTTCACAAAGGGTCGTGGTCTCAGGGCTTGGCTGTGAAGATGAGCTGTGCGGTCTTGCAACACCGAAAGGGCAGACAATCCGCCCATTTCTGGGCTTGCGAATTATTTGCCCGGTTGGGATGTCTACGACCTTTGCAGTGTCTCCTTAATCTACTCGGCTGAATGCTGGTTGCTGGTCACTAGACCGAGTGCAGTATCAAACATGAGAGCCTGAGCTTATCTACTGCACTCCACATAGCCCCACCGAGTTTGATGGGTGGATTTGTCGAGATCATTGGCCACGCCAGTCCACCATCATCTCGTTAGACTAGGTATTGCGGGGTAAATTCGACCTAGTGCCTATCATGCAGAGCGCCCTACAATGTCCAGAGTATCTCGAAAAAAGCAAAGTTCGCCACCGCAGGTGCCTGTCAGTCTACTAGCTCAATCACCTCAATGCGAGTGGCCATCAACAACCCAGGAAAACACCTCTCCGTATCCGCAAATACCAAGACAATGCAGACAGCACCAAATAGGAATCGATCAGTAGAACTCTAGCGGTCAGACAGCGTTTCTCAAACGACCTTCTAAGATATCCCCAATTGCCCCCACCTCTCACCCCTGTTCCAGACACGTTGATAACTGCAATCCAACCACCAGACCAAAACCCTAACCCCTCGAACTCCCCTCAAACCTCTCCCCCACCGCCTCACACCCCGCAAACCACCCAGGCCGATGCCGCGTAAAACACTCAATCTGCGGCCGGAAGATTTCCAATCTACATCTCTGTCAACACCATACAAACCCGTTCCATCATCCCAGGAAGAAACGCACCCATTAGGAATCAACGCCGGCCGCACCACAACAATTCCCCCGCCCTCGGTTGCGCGCGGGACTGTGTAGACGGTGCATCCGCACCTTCCGCAGAAATACTTGTGCTTGGGGGCCCCGCTCGCAGTCTCGGTGATCGCGTAGGTGCGTAGCTGTCCTTGTGTGTTGTCGAGGGCGAATTGGGAGCGGGGGTAGCGTGCGGTCTGTATTTTTAGGATGGCTTCACTTCGGGGGGGGGGGGGGGGTCTGATGGGCGTTAGGCGGACTCACGATCTGGCAGGGTCCCCCGGCACCGAGGGAGCAGTCGCGGCAGTAGCAGCAGTAGACTGCGGTGGGGGGGCCGGTGACGGTGAAGTGGATGGCGCGGCAGAGGCAGGTGCCTGTGTGGGATGTGGACGGGGTGGATGTGGACATGGTGGGTGGTGATTCGGGCTGTGGATGAAGCTGAATGTGCGTTGGGAAATAGGTTTGAGTGTGTGGGTGAAGTTATCTAACTTAGCCTGTTGATGTTAAGATAAGAGTATGCGTGCGGGGGTGGGAGGGGTGAGTGATACGAGAGGCTCAGCTTACGTGGGGATCTGCCTCATGCATCTGGCGCCCGGCTCTCATCCAATATACCTGATTTGGTTAGACAGGCAGGCAGGCCGATTTGCGGTAGGGTTTTCGGTGCTCTCACTGGATCGGAGATACGTGGGGTAGGGTTGCTTTTCTCCGAGGGGGAGGTAGCATCTTGAGGCTTTGTCCTGAGACCCTCGTTATCAAGATGACGGTTTTGCGGGGCAATTGAGAAATAGTTGAAGATGTAATTGGCAAGTCTTACCCTCAAGTGCATTCATTGCTCTGCAGCTTGATGTTCATGCTTGTTGGATCATATTTCCGCCCAGTAGAGGTGCTAGGCTCCTAGTCAGTCGTGAAGCGAGGAGTCTCCTAAGACACTTAGAATGTTACTCCGTATATACGTCACCGTATTTGTGGTGATCATGTGTCTCCTGACATGAAGCTGAAGCCAGAGCTATGACTTTGAGAGAAGAAAATACCTCCTGCAAGGGAGCGTGCGAGTTGTTTGTTGTGGAGTGTATCAGCGGACAGATGGCCAAACATAGGGCTAGCCCAACGAGCAGCGCAGATGGGAACATTATCGCTTTTCTAACGCCCATCTCCCACCCAAGCTATTACAAACGTATCCACCCCAAGGACCACAAGCACATCTAACAATGTTCCACCTCAAGCCCCCAATCAGACAAAGCAACTCTCACCCCTCAACCCTTCTCCCCCTCCCCCTCCGCCACACCAACCCCACCACCTCCTCCCAGAACCCAGCCATCGGCCCCTCGAAGCTCGCCTCATACGCATCCACCGCCGGCGCCTCCCACACCAAATCCACCTCTTCCGGTTGGAGCAGCGTGGTCCCCTTCGCCCACTTCCACCCGAAAAACAGCACCGGCGCCACCAGCTGCATGGTATAGTTCTCAAAGAAGGCCTGCACATCCCACGGCGCGAACGCCGTATAGCCGTACCCGAGCAGCACGAACGCCATCGCCACCAGCCCGACCCACGCGCAGTATGGCTGGCCCCACCCGACATACGGCAAGGTCGCGCGGTCGAGGCCTTGCACCTGGCACGCGCGGTAGAATTGCAGGTAGGTGATGCACATGACCAAGAAATCGATCAAGGCGCCCGCCGTCATGAGCGAGACGAGCAGGTTGAGCACCCTGGCGGAGTTGTTCGACAGCTGGAGGAAGGAGAGGAAGGGAAAGCAGATGACGACGCCGAAGGCGTAGACGGGCACGCCGTTGCGGGTCTTGGTGAGCAGGCGGGGCGCGCGGCCCTCGAGGGCGAGGCCGTACAGGGAGCGCGTGGCGCAGTAGGTGAGGGTGTTGCCCGCCGAGAAGATGGAGGTGATCAGGAGGGCATTCACGAGGTGCGGGAGCCCCGTGATCTGGAGGTTGGCCATCGCGATCACGTACGGCGAGGCGGCGGCCCCGCTGGCGCGGCTCTGGCCGTGCAGGATGGCTTGGAGGGTCGGGTCCGTCCAGGGCACGACGATGCCGACGCAGGTCGCGCCGAGCACGAAGAACAGCCCGAAGCGCCAGTAGATGGTCTTGAAGGCGGCCTTGACCACGGTGCGCGGCCGCTGCGCCTCCGCCGCCGACATGGAGATGTACTCCGGTCCCACGATGGTGAAGGCTGCCGACCAGAGGGCGGCCAGGAAGCCCTCAAATCGACCGGTCTGTCCTGGATGGCGGTATTCGGCGAACGCGCTGGGGTGGCGCCAGTATCGGAAGCCGTAGGCGTCGTGCTGCGGGTTGCCGCCCACCATGGTGATGAAGGTGAAGAAGATGAGGGTGAAGATCAGCAGGATCTTGCCGCTCGAGAGCCAGAATTCGGCCTCGCCGTAGGCGCGCACCGCGAGGAAGTTGATCACGCTGTGGCAGGGGTTAGTTTCTGGCTTGTAGGGGTTGGGGGTAGGTATGCTGATCGTGGTGAGTTAGTAGCAGTTTGTGGAGGCTTCTGGGCGTACGTGTAAAGAGCAATGCAGGCGGCGCAGACCGCCGCCACGGGGATGTCGTCCCGCCAATACCCCAGCACCAGGTTGATGGCGGTGATCTCGTAGGGGATCATCAGCGCCTCGTAGAAGAAGAAGTTCCAGCCCACCATGAACCCCAGGGCGTCGTCGACCCATTTCCCGGCGAGCCGGATGAAGCCGCCGGACACGGGCTGCAGGACCGTCATCTCCGCTACGCAGTTGTTGATACACGCGATTACGAGCGCATACAGGGTGTAGGCCACCAGCAGGCTGCCGGGGCCCCCGGCGGCGAGCCCGTTGCCGATGCTGATGAACAGGGCGGTGCCTATCGACCCACCGATGGCGAGGAGTTGGGTCTGGCGGTTGTTCAGTCGGCGCTGGAGGCCTTGTGGCGCGAGGGGCTCCACGGGGCAGGACTGCACGTCGGCCTCGACGGCTTCCTCTAGTTTGCGGTCTATCTTGTCTTCTGACATTGTGCTGCGTGGGGTGATTTGGGTTTGATGGGACTGGGTGCGGAGGACTCAGATAAGAGCGGCACGAGAAACCCTTGCGCATAGCGGAGGAAGTTTCCAGCATTATAAATTGCTTCGAGACCGGTCTGTATAGAGTCTGGGACGCCACAGATAATTTCGGAGATAGGCATATGCAAGGAGCATCTGGAGTGGGGATGCATGCCGCAAACGGCGAGGCTAGACCATCCCAAGATGGCTCTCATTTTACATACCGCAATAGGAATTGTCCTGCACGGTTGGCTGTCAAGTGAGATAACCTTGCTATCTTCGAGATATCGAATTAAATCACTATCTCCAGTATGTTATCCGCCGATTGCAGGTGTTGTGCAGAAAGATAAATCGAGTGATTTGTGAGATGAAGCTACCTTGTCCCTCCTGGGGCGGATCTCATTACCCGATCGGCCTTAGCCCTAATTTGATGCCATTCATTCCCCGAATCCCCACCAAGATTCCCACGGTTCTCCACTCTAGCAGAGAAGCATCAGGAATTCTGGGGAAATGCGTTCTGCCATCGGAATGACGTGTAAACAGCTCCACACCTTCCTCGACCCTGTTTACTTCCGTCCCACATCCATGCGGGGGCATCAACCCCCCCTGACCATAAATCCTCACCCCCACCCTCCCCTCTCACACTTCACTCTCAACCACTTCACAACACCTCACAAACCCCCTAATACCAACCGCCAAAGATGCCCCCCACCCTCCCAACAACCCGCCGCGCCTTCCGCCGAACAGACGACTACACCCCGGGCACACCCAAACTCTACGCAGTCGACGAACCCCTCACGTCCCTGGGCCCCACCTCGGTGCTGATCAAAATCCACGCCATCGCCCTGAACTACCGGGACGCCAACATCGCCAACGGCGGAAACCCGTGGCCCGTCCTCCCGCACGGGATCCTATGTAACGACGCCGCAGGGGAAGTCCTCGCGGCCGGCGAGAAGGTCACCAGCCTGGCCGTCGGCGACCGCGTCGCCCCCATCATCGACACGCAGTTCGTGTCCGGCCGGGAGCTGGGCCGGAGCTGGCTCGCGGCCGACGAGGACGGGGTCATGGCGGACCACGTCGTCTTCGACGAGAGGGTGGTCGTCAAGCTTCCGACGTATCTCGACTGGAGCAGCGCCGCGACGATCCCCTGCGCGGGCGTCACGGCGTGGTCCGCGCTCAAGGGGATGAGTATCGGGCAGACGGTGCTGATTCAGGGTCTGCCTTTCTTGGTTATTGTCTTTTTGGAGAGTGCTGCGCTAACGGATAAATGGGCGGCAGGGACCGGCGGCGTGAGTGTGTTTGCGCTGAAGCTTGCGCGCGCGGCGGGCCTGCGCGTGATCTTGACTTCGTCGAGCGATGAGAAGCTGGCGGCCATGCAGAAGAAGTATGCGGAGCCGCCGTTGTTGACGGTCAATTACTCCAAGACTCCGGCGTGGGAGGAGGAGGTGCTGCGGTTGACGGACGGGGTGGGCGTGGACATTGTGGTCGAGAACGGGGGCACGCCGTCGCTCGTGCGGTCGATGAAGTGCACGCGGCGCGGCGGGGTCGTCAGCCAGGTCGGGTATCTGGGCAAGCAGAATGCGCAGGATCTGGCACAGTTGGTGCCGGTTATCATCGATCGGCGGGTCGTCTTGAGGTAAGCTTGATCTTTGGGTGGAGTGCGTGAGTCGGGAGCGATTGGCTAATTCGTGTGTCAGGGGTATCAATGCGGGCTCGAAGTTTGATACGGAGGACTTCTGTGCGGCGTTGGCGGCGACGCAGATTCGATTAGATGATTTGATTGATTCGGTGTTTCCCTTTGAGAAAGCGGAGGAGGCGGTCGAGTATATCTGGCAGGGGAAGCAGGTGGGGAAGATTGTGCTTCAGCTGTAGAGTTAGGGCTATTGGCTGGGGTGAAATCAGGGAAGATGAATGGAATGCCATCGCTTGTATGCGGGTCTTGCTATTCGCCAGTAAGACTGGTATCGATGCTCAGTTGTTGTATCAGTCTTGAGAACGGACTTGCGACAAGGCAAGGTGTTCAGAATCTATCCAAGCTGCTAGTATTTTAGTGCTTAAGCAGGGAAGAGTGGGGCCCAGGGTGGTTTTGTGTACGAATTGTAGGCCTAATTACACTAAGACGTTTATTGATCGTAAGGTATTGCGGTACAATGTTCTCCCCAAGCTTTCAGCTTGATAATACTCTTCAATAACTATGGTTGGCTACTTGCTTGCTGACAACAAAATCTTGTTTTAGGCACTATAGGAGCGATTCCACCTGTAGATGATAAGCTTGTTCTAGCTCGATCCTTCCGCCACGGGGCAGTGCAGGATCAAAGCTACAACAATGCGCATACATCATCACGCTTTCAACATCTTCCAAGATGTTGATAGTGATGCTTAAATCCGAGGTGACCCCCTATCGCAATTGTCCCACACTTGCTATCCGATCACTAGAACAAGATCGTTGACTATGAAGTTCACTGGGAAGGCTCATAACCGCATAGAGCGCTGTGAAGCTTCCTACATGGAAGATCCGATCCGCCTTCTCCTTGATCCCAACTCTAATGCGACGGACTAACTAACTGTGCTGACGCCATGTCAGCCCGAGTTAAATGGACCGACCCTCATCCCCGTCCATACCAGAGACTGCTAAGATCACGACTAAAGCCATCACGTGACTCATTTCCATGTATAACTTCTGCCTGGACCGCAACAGCCATGCATCCCAACCCTCCGTTTCTCCATCCCCCCATACCAACCATGGCCCTCCCCCCCAAACTCATAATCCTACTCCTAGCAGCCCTAGCCCTGACCACCATTTACCTCCTCACGAGAATCCACCGCACCCTCCGCCACCGCCACCTCTCCCGACGATATGGCTGCCGCCCCATCGCGCGGTCCTTCAACCGCGACCCGTTCCTGGGGCTAGACACCCTGCCCAGCACGATCCGCGCCATCCGCGCGCACCGCATCCTAGCACGGGGCTGCGAGCTGTTCGCACGGTACGGGCGCACCTTCACCACCCGCGAACTGCAGCACCGGATCATCCTGACCATCGAGCCCGAGAACATCAAGACCATCCTGTCGGTCAACTTCCAGGACTACGGGCTCGGCCACCGCACCAAGCCCTTCCGCCCGCTGCTGGGCCAGGGCATCTTCAACAGCGACGGCGCGCACTGGGCGGCCTCGCGCGCCCTGCTCCGCCCCAGCTTCGCACGGGACCAGGTCGTCGCCGACCTCGCCGTGCTGGAGGAGCTCATCCAGGATCTGTGGACTGTGTTGCCGCGGGACGGGGCTACCGTCGACCTGCAGGAGTGGCTTTTCAAGTATACGATCGACTCTGCGACGGGGTTCTTGTTCGGGGAGTCGGTGCATACGCTCCGCACGCCGGTGGGTCAGACCCGAAAAGAGGGGGTGGGGGTGGGGGTCGGCTTTGCGGAGGCGTTCCAGTATGCCCAGAAGGCGGTGCTGGTGCGGGGTACGCTGGGTTGGTTGAATGCGTTCTACCGCGATCGCAAGGCGGAGGAGTGTAACCGACGCTGTCGAGATTTCGTGCGCGTGTTCGTGGACGAGGCGGTGCGTGCGGTTGAGATGCGCAAGACTGGTGACGATCAGGAGGACGTGGACGCGGTGGAAGGGGAAAAGCCCAAGGGCAAGCGCATCTTCTCGCACGAGCTGGCGGCGCGGACGGCGGATAAAGAGCGCATTCTGGACGAGCTGATGGCCGTGCTGCTGGCCGGACGGGATACCACGGCCAGTCTGCTGGGGAATCTGTTCTTCATGCTCGCGAAGAGCCCCGCGATCTGGGCGAGGCTGCGCCGCGAGGTGGAGTGCTTGCAGGGTCGTCCGCCGAGTTATGAGGAGTTGCAGGGGTTGAGGTTTGTGGAGTGCTGTATTAAGGAGTGTATGTTCACTATCCCCTGATCCCCTCTTGCGTACAGTGTGGTACTAAGGAAAGAATGCCCCAGCCCTCCGCCTCCACCCCGTCGTCCCCCGCAACCAACGCGAGGCGATCCGCGACACCGTTCTCCCCCTCGGCGGCGGCGACGATGGCCTCGCCCCCGCGTTCGTGCCCAAGGGCACGCTCGTCGCCTACAACCTCTACGCCATGCACCGTCGGGCCGATCTCTACGGGGATGATGCCGACGACTTCCGCCCCGAGCGCTGGGAGGACGGCAAGTTGCAGCTGCGGCTGCGCTGGGCCTATCTGCCATTCAACGGCGGGCCGCGGATCTGCATCGGGCAGCGGTATGCCTTGACCGAGGCGAGCTACGTGCTGGTGCGCATGGTGCAGGAGTTTCGCCGGCTGGAGAGTCGGGATCCCGGGCCGTGGGAGGAGAGTCGGGGCCTCACGCTGTGTTCGCGCAATGGGACGCGCGTGGGGCTGATTCGTTGATTTGGGTTCGTGTTATTGCCGCCATAGCGTATGTCGCATTGTTCTAGGCTTTATCCTCTCTATGGTTGGTGCAATTCGGCTTGATCTCTCGAGACATGGGTATGTGAGTCCAGCGGGCTGAGCAGTTGAAGGCATGGTATAGTTGTATGTACACTGGTGGATTTGGGATCCGCAGCGAGCGACTGTAATCCAGAAAGTTATGGTAGGGTACAAGTCACATTGCTCTAAGCAAATTACATGCGCAAGCCTCTTTCAGGTAATGAGAAGGGTGAGGAGAAAGGTCAGTGTGAGGGAAGACAGAAGGGGGCTGAGAGTGTATCTTTCGAAAAGCAGAGCACAGAATCCGAGAAGTAAGATTTGACACTAGGAAAGAATATGGACTCACTGCAACGTGGTAGACGTATGTGTCGATATCGAGTGAGGTGTTGTAACCACTGACAATACATCAAAGCGAGATAGATCCTTACATATATCCAAACCCCTTTGATAATTACGCATAGCACAATAAGCCCCCGACAGCTCTAGCCCTAACTCAGACTCCACCAGCAACCCTCTGCACCAACTCCTCCACCTCCTCGGACCCCCACTCCCTCACCCCCAACAACCCATTATCATCCCTCTCCCACGGATACGCCAACTCCCGCGTAGCGATACAATACTGAATCTGCACCTCAAACGTCGCAGCCGTCACCTCCCTCCCCTCCCTGAGGTCTGCCAACGCCCCCTCCACCAACCCCCGCATATCCCTCTCACTCGTCTCCTCCCACCCCTCCACCCCCAGCACCTTCTTCACCACCCCGACCAACTGACTCTGCGACAAATACACCGAGTACACATACACCGCCCGATTCCGCGTCTCCTGCGGGTGCAGCAGCACCGCCGCCGTGGCGCGGCCCACATCCTCCAGCGTCGTCCAGGGGACGACGTTGTCCCCGGTGCCGAAGATTCGGACTTTTCGGCGGGGAAAGTCTAGACCTGCGAAGCCAGACCTCAGAGCCCAGTCTAGGAAGACTCCGCAGGCGACGACGGTGTAGGTTAGTGTGGATGCGGCGGCGTGGCGTTGCACGGCTTCGTAGGCGGCCTTTTTGCGGGCGAAAACGGGGAGTGCGTGGATTCCTGGGTTGGTGGGGTCGAGGCCGAAGTCGCTTGTTATGCTGTGCGCAAAGATGAGGGGCGTTCTGGTTAGTTGGGAAAGTTGGATGAAAAGGGTAGAAGGGGAAAGGGGAAGGGTAGGGACGAACAAGCGAGAGACACCGGCGGCGGCGGCGGCGTCGATGAGACGGAGCGGAGTGTGGATGTCCGAGGAAAAGGTCGTGTCGATCACGGCGTCTTGGCCGGCTAGGGCTGCGGTGAGGGAGGCGGGAGAGGCGAAGTCGACCTGCTTAACGGTGGCTGCTGCGGGGAAGGTGGTTGCGGTTGCAGGCTTGCGGGTGAGGATGGTCACGGTGAAGTCCTGGGCGAGCAGGGCGTGAAGAACTTGGCTGCCTACGTTGCCGCTGGCCTGGGGCTTGTTAGCTTCTTGAGCTTTGGTTGGGGGGTGGCTCGGGGGAGTTAGGGCTTACTCCTGCGAGGGCCACGTTCTTGATTGAGGACATTTTTTCGGGTTGGTAGTAGTCTTTGTGTGTTGACGGGCTTGACGAGCTTGGAGATGGATGGGCAACGGTTTGTATCAGCTGGCAATATTTAAACATTCCCGGTGTGCGGACATGGCCGGAGATCGAGGGTCAAAAGGCAGACAGCCCCGGTCTCCGGGCTAATGCCGGCAATGTAACACTTTTCCAGCTATTTCCGCGATTATCAGGGCTCAGGGTCTTTGGCTTGTTCTAGATAGGTCAAGCCACACGCCAGGGGATGGAGACCAGGCAGCCAGTTGTTGCCGCAGGTGAATGATCGGATGTCAGATTTTAGTGAGACATCTAGTTTGATTTGTAAGATTTATCCAAATCATGGCAGCATGTTCCTTTGCGTCGTTCCTACTCCACCCCCTCTGAGAACCCTCCAGGAACACTGAACAATTCTATCACCCTGTTCCGCATATTCTCGCATACCCAGAGCCTATCTCTCAGCTCACGACTGCCCCGGCAACTTCCTCATGTAGATCTCGCTAGCCAGACTTCCACCACCGCTACAAACACCCCACTCCCCAATCCCAAACCTCTCTGGAGCACGTCGACAATTCATCCCACTCCCCCCAATAATCACATTCCCCGGTCGATACTCAGAATCCGCCTTCATGCGCCTAATCGTCGAGCCATGGAACTTCGCATCCAACGGCGTATCGCGCGGGGCCCCGCGGTGCGGCGGCCAGTGGACCAGCGCCCACCTCCCATCCTTCTGCATCGCTGCCCGCCGTATAGGAATCCACTCCATGAACCGCCACAGCCAGGCCGTAGCCCGCGAGACCCCGTTTCCAGCATCTAGCGACGAATGCAGTAGTCCCTGCGTGCAGGAGTCGACCAGCGCAGCCTGGAATGGCGACGGCGACGGCGACGGCGACGACGACAACGACATCCCCAGCTCCTCCTCCAGACACCCCATCTCTTTCATCTTCTCGCGATCCAAGCGCAGCCCAGCCCGCTGCGCCTCCCGCACCATCCAGACAAGCGGAACGTGGCTAATCTGCGTGCGCTCCCGCGGTCCACGCTGGAACCCGCCCCCAATATCAGCGTGGTTGCCGGGGAACCAGACTTCCTCGAAATCTTGGGCGTCATCATCATCACCACCAACACCACCATGCCACAGCTCATCTAACACTCTCTCAGCCCTCTGCCCCCTTTCCCCCCTCCCATAAATCCCCAAAAGCACAGGCTGAAACTTCACCCTCCGTTCATCGATACCAACCGCATGCCTCACCACCCTCGCATTCGACCTCCCGTCATTGACCACCTCAAACTCCGCCACACTATTGACCGTATCGAACAGCCCCAGAAACCTCGCCGGCCGAACAGGCCGACACAACGTCTCCCGACAGTGCCTTAGATACGTCGCAGCCCTCTCCTGCGCTTCAGCCGTCTGATACCGCGTCAGCTTCAACTGCGAGAACGCCTCCCACACCAAGGGGATCATCTCCTCGTTGTCCGGGCCCAACAGGCCCGCCGCGTCCAGCATCTCCGCCAGAAACAGCGCCGTGTAGGCGCCGCGCGAGAAGCCGAAGATGTAGATGTCCGTGGCGGCGCGGTAGTGGCGCATGAGGAAGCGGTAGCCGCCCAGCACGTGCTGGTCGAAGGTGTGGCCCAGCGCTTGGCTGAGGGTTTTGCTCTTGCCTTGGGTTAGGGTCTTGTGGAGTTGGGTGGCGGCGAGGGCACTGGGGGTGATGGTGGTGCCGATTCCTGCTTTTCGGGGGTTAGGCTTTCTACCTGGGGAGGGGGGAGGGTGGGAGCCTACGTTGGTAGTAAACCACTACACATTACATTTCTATTAGCTTTGCGGTCACGTCACAACAAAATCTCAATCGG